TAGGTGGCAACTGGTAGGTGACATATCACCTCTCAAAAACTAGAGCTGAAAGGGGAAAACTGATGCCATTTCTTTTAATCAGCTGGACAAATATACCAAGAAACAGGACTAATATTTGAGGCACCAAAATGTGTGCTGGTTAGTGTTATGTCTCTTGACATTCTATTTGTTCTCTTGTGTTGATTGTTCAAACTATATATGGCATCATATTTCCTTTTAAAAAAGATACTAGGCTAGCAGTATTTTAGTCAGTAAAAGAGCATCAGATTGGGCTGCCTTTAATGGTGATGTTGCCTCAACTGAATGTCTCTTTTGCCTGGTCAAGGCCCTGCTTAAGCCTGCTGTCACTGTCTTAGAAAACTTGAGGTTGGAGAACCCTTCAGGACAGAATTTGGTACGAACTACAGGGTTGTAGAAGATAGTTGATCACTATGAATTGGATGCCCATCCTGCACAAACAGAAGGCTGGCTCCTGAAGGCAATCCAATCATTGCTTGCAGTTGTTAGACTTTAGACAACAGTGCACAAAATTGGTATGTTTGTTTCTTTTGTGAATAAGCAGCATGCAGAATATTATAAATGAATTGATATCCCCAAACATCCACACACACTTGTATAATGTTCTTTTTTCTGTTTCACTTTAGGATATAATGGGGGGTAGTAAGCCCTCTTATATTTCTTGTATATTCTGTAAGCTACATATATGTCAATACAAAGCCTGGATGTTTATTAGTTTTTGCCTCCTCAAAATAATTGGCATTAAAATACAATTTTAACACTCTCCCAAGTTCCTCATGATATATTTGTATTCCTACTAATTATGGTATCTAGTTGTTTTTCCTTTCTCTCCCAGAACCAAAAAAGGAGTGTACATTACTGCTGTTTGCACAAGGATATCTAAGCAGTCATTTTGCTATTCTGCATAGTAACACCTGATTTAAGTGTCATTTATCAAGTGAGCGAGAGAGATCTATTTTGAGCTTCATGCTGGCTTGATGACCTACATGGCATTAATGCTTAATAAGAGGAAAAAGTATTTGCACTCAGGATTCTTTCAGATACGAAAGTCAAAGTACTGGAAGTGGAAAGCTCAGCCATGTTGACACAGTTGACTGTTTGCGGTGAGAGTACACAGGTAGTAGTTGTATTGTCTGTTCAGTTACTACTTTTATAGTCCCAGGTTTGACTCTAGCATGCCCCTCCTTTCCCCTCCTTCCCTTTCTTCCAGGTAGGCAATAGCAGCTGACTTCATTTTCTGTCCCTCTCCACCCACCTTCCTCTGTAGTGATAATGGTTTAATACTGGTGACTCCAAATGCCAGCGTCCACATAGACTAAAAACGGTTGCATTTCCTTATCCTAGTTCTGAAGAAATTTCCTGGCATCAGCTGTCGTCAATGTGTGACTTTTTTCTCATAAAAGTATGCTAAAAGTTATCTATACAATATATCAACCAAACTAGTCTCATTAGTTTACAGTTCTCATGTCATGCTCTTGTTAAAGGAGAAAAGACATGGTTACACTTTTTAAAATCGCTTCAGAGCTCTAATTCTACCCTATAATGCATCCCTGAGGCACATTTTTTTTAAGATCTCCAGACTATCTTTTTCCTGGCCAACTGAAAATAAGGGCAATTGTTTATCTTGGAAACTCAAAGCAAGCATGATTCACTTTTTAATAGGCTGTAACCCCAACCCAGCAATATTTACCTTTTTTGAAAATATTAAAAACAAAGGTAGTTTTCCAAGTCACTTTGTTTTTGTTTTTCTGACAGTTGATGTGGTTTCTGGAGTCCAACGGCCAAAAATTCCATCATAGACCAGGCATAGTTGCCCAGTACTGGGCTAAAATAAACTCTGTTCTTAGTCCCAGTTGGAAGAGATTTGAACCAGTCAAGAAAAGTATCTCAGAGCAGAAAAGTACAGCAGAGTAATCAGGATAGGGGAATCTGTGCCCTTCTGATGGTGGAGTATAAATAATGCAGTAGTAATTCATCAACATCCGGGGGAGGGGAGACTATCCACCTCTGCTCTTAAGCACAAGGCTTTTGAGACATTTGCAAGCTGGTTACCTTGACAAAGCAAGAATGTGTTCACTCCATTTAGTTCCCAGATAACAATTACTGTATCAATCTATTGGGGAAAAAACAGATGAGATCTTAATAAAAAAGGGGACTCAAATAAAGCAATACTAAAATCTCCAATTACACAATAAAAATTACAAGTTTTATTTTTCAATTTTTTTAAAAAAATAAAACATTCGTTTTGCCATGCCTAGCCGGGCATTTGTCCCGTTAAATGTCTACTTTACAAGATACGTGTTTTGTTACGTCTAGGGACTTATTTGAAGTTGCAAGTATCTAGTGAAAAATCTTGATCCAAGGAGTATATCTCCCCAGTCAGTGACTTGATACGTTATTAATTTCATCAAATAAATGTTGTATTTCAATATAAGATGTTGTAATTAAAGAATGAGATAGTCTTGATGAGGAAATGTCTACATTTGTAGAGCCTGATTTGTAGAGTTCTTGAACATTCTTTTTCATAGGCTAATTCAGATCCAAAACACAATGATCAAATATGTAAATGAGAATATACAAACATGGGATTCATGAGCTGCAAATCAGTTGGTGGCATTTAAGTAAGCATCAACAAGTATTTTCATGCTTTTTTATAGTGGTAGCACAAGGAGTAACCAGAACTTTCTTGCCCAAGCAGCATTTGGTTGTGCTGCCACAATTATAAATGAGACTTTCAAAGAGTTATGAGGTCAAATTATGACATTATAACTGCCTAACAAGGTGTTTTTGCTTTTAGACTGTGTAACACATCATTTCAAGATTCCAGACTATGACTGAAAAAGAAAACTTCGGCCAGTATTTATATATTTGCTGTACTTATACCCTACCCTTCTCACCCCCAAAGGGGGACTCGGGATAGCATTTATTAATTTTTATTTTGCAATGCAGATGTTTACTTTGTTGCATAGAAACAGTGCATTCTTGGAAGTGACAGGGAGTGGTTCTGTGAAAGGAATTAGCAGACACTGAACATCGAGGAATATGCTGTGAAATCTGTTAAAATTGTGCTGTTTTATATTCTCAATAGTCAACCTTTCATTCTGCCTATCTGTACATCAAGAAGTGATAGATAATGTCAAAAAGGGAAGAACAAATCTCACTTTCACAGTTTTAACTGCACAGGTATATTCCCTATTCTAGTGAAAGGTCTTAATATGGGGCTTCACCAGGAAATTAGCAATTCAAAATCTTGCTTGAAATTGCTTTGCCAGATTTTTTGTAATAAATAGCTGCTATGATTCATTACCACTCATATCCCAAGTTTTTATTAAAAATGGTTTGAACTGTGATTTAAGATTACTTTAAAGACCAACAAGATTTAATTGACAAAGGACCACAATAATTCCTTACAGGTTTTCCTCTTAATTTAATTTAAAAATAACTACCTAGCCTATGGAATTCACTGGCTTGCCAAGTCAGTAGGTGACTTGGCATAACATACACATACATCTAGCAAGGCTTTCAACTATAAACTTATTAGCACATATCGTTTGCCTTTGCCACAGTTTTTGATTGACTTCAGCAAATCTCACAAAAGTGAGATGATAAAAAGTACACTCCCACAAACATATGGACATCTGAAATCCTTTCCAGCATTCAGTTCTGTGTGGAGCAGTGTAGTGGTGACAAATTTAACAGTTGTCCAGTGACACAAGAAGTGTTATTTTCTGTTCAATATCTAGGTTTCTGCTTTAAGTTTAGTTTTAATAGCTGGGAACACAAGTTATTTTTACTGTTCTGATACCTATTGAGATGGGATATGGGCCATTACTATGTCATCCTATTTCATCTGGTCCTCTCCTATATAAATCTAGGGATCCATCTTGTAATTATCTGCCATTGCATACCATGTTACCTTAACCTGCCACAGAAATCTGCAGTTGTTGGTCCTGGCGTGGTTTGGGTAAAAAAAATTGTTTGGGGCGTGGTTTTACCAGCTTCTTTGAGAGGATGCTGAAATCCAATTGGCTAAAATCTGTGATGATTTCCTGTGGAACAGAATACCTGGATCAATTTACCACCAATAATTCATATCACACAACAGTGAAGTGGATCTATTTTTATCATCAAACAAAACCTGGGGATACCTAATACTGAAGCCAGTTCCAGCTCAAAACAGGAGGAAATATTTTATTCTGGTAAAATAGGAACTATGTTTTGGAAAGGTTTGGCTAGGACAATTACCAATCTTCTTTTGACAAACCTGTGGAGATAATCACTTGTTTCATGAAAAATCTTGGAGTCTACAGGGTTTGTTTAGGGTTATTTTGTGCTATTATGTTTGTATCTGTTATTGTGCTGAGGCATTCAATATTTGCCTTTTTTGTTTGTTTTTTGGAATCCGCCCTGAGTCCTCTCGGGGAGATAAGGTGGAATATAAGTAAAGTTTTATTATTTTTATTATTACTGGGGATATAATCTGTTGATTGAGAGAAAGGAAAATGTTGTGTCTTGATACTGGGAATATGTTTTAAAAATTCTCTTGTTTTATGAATACTGTTTGCAATGTTTTCATTTGCAATATTTAGTGAAATATACTGTAGTTCTTGAGCCTAAGCTTTCTTTTCAGGGGAGATTCCCATGGAAAACCATACCCACATTTCTTTTCAAACAGTGTACTCCTTCTCTTTATTTACCCTTCCTACAGGAAGGTCCTGTGTGTTTAATTGCTGGTACCAGAACTTAGGAACACTACTTTGTTGGACTATAACTTGTCAGATTCTCCAACATGGATTGGAGATACTGGACACATAATCCTGAAAATAAATTTTCAAAAGCCTCAGTTGGTGTCATAGGATTTGTTAGGGATATTTCCGCTATTTTCCTCATTCCTCAAGAAGAAGAAAAGAATGCTGTAAAAACTGGTGATACAGACCCATGCATATTGTGTATATTCATTGATTTATTGTTGTTTGTTCCAGAATTGGTGATGCTGCTGGAATGGTGGTCAGGCACTACTTGCACCCTCTACACAGACCCACAGCATTACCACAAGTATGGGAAAGAAAATGCCATCGTAATTCTTAATCACAACTTTGAAATCGACTTTCTCTGTGGTTGGAGCTTTTGTGACAGATTTGGGGTTTTAGGGGTGAGTTTTGTCTGGAATTTCAGCAATTACATTTCATTTTAACTCTGTTTTTACCCAGTTTTTGTCAGCTCATTTGATTTCAGTCCTTTTTGGCAGTTTCCCTGTTACTTATTTGTTCAGAGGAGAGAAGAACTACAAGCAAACATGATGTTTTTCTTCAATCCTGTTCAACTCACAGCCAGTCAAGCCCCCCCCCCCCAAGTAGTCATAAATTGTGGCCTACTAGGTGTTTGACCATACCCTGTTCAAATAGTTCCAAGCAAGCAAAAAAACAAAAACAAAAACCAAATATATACTATTTATGAAATTCTTAATGAGATATTTTAATAACACATTTAATTGTCCTGGTGTTGATAATTGTGATGTTTGAACCAAAATATAGTGACCAGAAGGATGTCAGGGGATGAGGCCAAGACAGAATAGCAAATTGGACTAAGCACTCGCCACATATAACATATATACACACACAGTACAGAATATTCTGTGTGGACAAAGTTTGGCAGGTAGGATGTTTAATTAGGCCTCTCTGACTGCTAGTGCCAGGTTGTGGAATTTCCTTTCCCAATAAATTGTATGAGGCTGAACCATGACTGTTAAAGAAAGCCTTTGTGCTCATATTTCAACAGAATAAGGATGTATTCATTTAACTGCCATGGCAGGTTAAGAGATTGTTGCTATCTGACCAGATGTTTTAAAGTGGTTTTTAAAATCACACTTTATAATAATATTTAGTATTACAATATATTTTAATAAATTAAGCAGTACCTTGAAAACTTTTCATTGAAATGGTAAAATGAGAATGTCTATGTATATATAGTCCCTGATCACTACACATCTATGTTGAATGGACAATTCTCTACTGCCTAGTGCCAATGTTGCAAATTTCATATTTTTTTTCTCCTGAAGATGACAAAAACCTGCAGGTATAACCACTCCAATACTGTGTTCATTCACTAGAGTGGTGTTTCTTAAACTGTGCTCCTCCAGGAGGTTTAGACCTTTGCTCCCAGAAATCCCAGCCAGTTTACCAGATGTTAGGAACTGTGGGATCTGAAGTTCAAAACATCTGGAGGAGCACAGTTTGAGAACCACACTAGAGAACTGTGGAAATTGCATTTAATGCTCCCCACTTCTCAGCCCCTTGACCACTTCCAGTCTGTTTCAAAGTAGTGCTGATGATGGCTTTGGAGTGGCAAGATTTAAGAAAATCTTTCAAAACTGCTACCCCGGGATAGCAGTTTTGTTATTTAGTGATTTAGACAGTAATACAGTGTACAGCCCCTGTATATGTAAGAGCAGGAATTTTACAGTTTACCTGCCCTTAAATGGATAGTATATCTGCCTCAATAGTAAACATAACGTATCCCTTTTTCTTATTCATCTCCTCACTTTGTTTGTCAACCACTGAGTCTTAATTTAATTTCAATAATCTGCTCTGTTACTGCTGTTCTGCCTCAAGGTCAAATATAGAGTGAAATGTATGTGTGTACTTGTAACAAAGAAACAAATACAGGAATAACATTGTTGCAGTTTACCAGTTTTGCACTGTAAGTGTAGAAGCTTCTCTGTTCTCTAGGGGAAAATCAAATTATTTTGGAAAAATCAGACCCTGTACACCTTGTCAGGCATGTAGCCAGGGGGGGGGGCCTCGGGGGGCTTCAGCCCCCCCCCCGAAATTCTCATGGTGGTTCACGAAAAGGCCTTACTGGTGCATTATTTAAACTGTTATGTTTATTAATATCATGATTTGATCACCATTCTCAATATATCCCATATGTATGGGGGTATTGGGGTAATGATACAAAAGGTTTGCTAGGCTAGACCCTCTTTCACTCAGACTCAGCCCCCCCCCCCCCCCCCCGAAACGAAATCCTGGCTACAGGCCTGCACCTTGTAATCAACAATTGCTTCCAGCTTTCTCAGTCTTTCAGAAAATTGAAATTTAATAATGTGAGGGGGTGAATTTTTATGAAAACAGTGTACTGCTTTAATGCTAAGACTCTACAGAGAGCTTTTGCAGGAGCAACAATGTTAATGTTAATTGTGAGGACATAAAGAAGAAAGGGAAGAGGATCAAAACATCCCAAAAATAGGAAGGCAGGCCTACTTTCATCAGGTGATGTCCAAATTCATTAGACATCACCTAACTGTGGTGACCAAATGTATTAGTAGATGAAAATGTTTTACCATTTGAATAGGAACAAAACCCTTTGGAATACCATGGAAGAGGAGCCCCAAACATTGAATGACTGCCAAAGATGGGACATAACAGGAACAAATGCTGGTATTTTCCAATGCATTTGCCATGTCTGGAAAATCTCTTTGTATTTTCTCAAGTTGTTTAAATAAATGCATAACTTTTTGATTTTTTTGAACAATTAAGTGTAAAGGTGTAAATGTAGGTAAAATCAGAGATGTTGGTGAGTGTCAAGCCGATGGTACAGGAGGGAGAGATTTGTACAAACAGGTGAGGGATAGATAACTTCCTCCAGGGAATAGCATTTCCAGCCTGACTCCGTTTTGTGCTGCCCTCATATTGTCAGATCTGATTAGGAGAGTGATGAGGATGTCAAGAAATTTAACCAATGTGAGATTTTGATGGGTTGAAGTTTTCAGGCATTATATTTGCTGTTACACTACATAGATTAAAGCTGGTAGAAAATCTGAAAATAAAATAAAATCCTTAAAATAAATAGGCAAAGGTGATATGTTTGTAAAACTAATGGTTTCGTTGTACCATGTGAATGTAGTCAATACATTCTTATAAAATGTAGAGCTTATCTGATCTTGAAAGCTAAGCAGAGTAGTCCTGATTAATACTTTGATGAGAGGCAATCTTTGACAACCAGGTGTTGTGGCCTTTTGTTCAGAGGGAGGAACTGGCAAAATCATCTTGCATAAGAAATGTTTTATGTGTGAGTTTTCCACATAATATATAATACTGAAACCATGGCTTTGAGTATTCAAATGAAAAATGCAATGCACAGGGTTGAAAGGCAGTGAGTTTGCATCTTGCATGATTGATTTTCATTCCTTTTCTTCTTTTTACCAGAGGAATTACATGAGAATGCTTTCAGGCAGTTGCTTCATTGACTTGAAGAACTTACTGCCAACCACGAGGTCAGAAATTCAGTGCTGGTATACTATAAGAGATTGCTCATTCTAGCACATAAGATCAAATAAGAAATTACAGACAAGCATGAAATAGGAAAGTAGAAATCCAAGGAAGCATGGAATATGAATGCTAGAATGTCCAGAACCCCTATTATGTAATTGAGATTAAATTGGCATTAGGTAAACGATGTGATCAAATTGAACAACAAATTGAACAGCAACTTGAACTTGATTTCAATTAGCCTAATATGATGGCAATCTATTAGCACCTCAGTGATCAGTGTGAGACCTATATATGGTAAGAGACAATGGTCGGCTTCCCACTTGTGTTTCTTTTTAATAATAATAATAATAATAGTCTTTATTTATAACCCTCCACCATCTCCCCAAAGGGGACTCGGGGCAGCTGACATGAGGCCAAGCCCAAAATAATACAACATAATTAGACACAAAATAGCAAATAAATACATCATAACAAAATATATAAAATAACAAATAAAATAAAATAGACAATATAAAATGGCATAGTAAAATCAAACACAAAGGGCAGGCCAGATGTGTGAGATAAAATGTTAAAGGTTAAAACCCTGGGTGAGATAGGAATGAAAAGTGCATTTATGAGAGAGGAGTACTTCTCTCCCTGCCTTTCCTCCCTTAGAATTTGATGGAGTGGGTTTTTGTCATAGGAAAAATGGCCCTAATTTGTGCTGTAAAAGCATGCATTTAATACATGCCAAGGTTAAGTCCTTTCATGCTTTAAAGCATCCCAGTGGTCACTCATAACTCCCTTTTCACTCCCTTGGAAGTATATGAATATTATTAGAAGTGTGATAAATTACATGAGAGGATACTTGATGAAGTGACTGATTGTGACTGCTTAAATTCTTGTGAATGCTATCAATCTGATTGGATATGTAAACATTTCTATATCTTTCTGTTTTATGCAATACCATGCACATAAATCTTCCAACCTGGGTTTAGTTGTATTGTGTTGTAACGTGTTTTCCAATTGTTTTCCTTCCTTCCTTCCTTCCTTCCTTCCTTCCTTCCTTCCTTCCTTCCTTCCTTCCTTCCTTCCTTCCTTCCCTCCCTCCCTCCCTCCCTCCCTCCCTCCCTCCCTCCCTCCCTCCCTCCCTTCCTTTTGTTCTCAGTATAAAGGGAGGTATGCCGTACTGTTGTGTACATCAACAAAAAGGCTTGTAGATCTTTTCAGCAATAGCAAAAAAGATAGTTAAGGAACAGAAGAAGATCCTGGAGTGCAGTTTATACTGTGTGGCATGGTAGGCTATTCTCCTGACCCCACAGTACAATGGCCGTGAGGCCGAGCAGCTGTCCCCTAACAACACCTTCTGGGAGCAACTCTCCAGGAAGGACTGGATCCACTGCAAAACAATACCTCCAAGGCCCATTCCCGCGAGGCCTCCCAAAAGGATACCATGGTATACAGTATTGAAGGCCGATGAGAGGTCCAGCAGAACCTTTACCAGAAGTGTGATTACACATACATGTTTCTTCATCGCTAGCCCATGCTCCTTGTTGAAGTCATGGACAAGGCTCACATTGCTGTGCAACTCACGGAGACCATAGAATCCATGATTCATGTATGACTTCTTGAGAAGCAGCTGCTCACACTCATGCCTAGTTTTGTGGTGTTGGATTCTGAGGTCAATGTGGTGCGGGTGGTGAATATACAAAAAGAAAAATTGGTTTACAAATTAATAGGGTGTGCACAAATTGTTTTAGAGGGGTTGGAAAGATAAAGCAAAATGGACATCGACTAACTGCTATAAGTATATAGTTAATATGTTAAATGTGGAAATAACAAATTACAAATGGAACAATATAGATAAAATTGAAAAGGTTACAGTAACTAATTTAGTAATTATTTAGAGAATGTGATAAGATGTGGAGTGGAAACATTAAGATTGAGATTGATATTTCAAATGTAGCTTCTGTAGTTTGCTGTATAAATTGCATGTACAAGGAGGGGGTGGGAGTGGGATAAAATAATAAAATAACAATTAAAAATGTGTTGCAGGCAGTCAAAAAACGAAATTCAGATAGCAGAAACAGATTGAAGTTCTGCTGAAATGCACAAGCCTAATCACTATTAGAATGATCTAGTAATGTGTTGTGTTAATACTCACTCTCCTAGGATGCCTGTTTAACCTTGTGGCTTTCTGTTGAGTTTAGATAACAGGCAACATCTTCCCACATACAGGTTTTTGGGTTATCAGCAGCTGCCTGACAACAGAGGTGAACCAGTTTGCAGAGAGAAAATTGGGTGCTTTGTCTTTAAAAGACTTTAGTTTTATACCCTCTCCAGCCTTTTCTTAGCCAATCAGCCAAAGGATCTCACTCCTCTCCCCATTGTTTCATCCAGTGAAAATATGGGTCTTGTCTGTACCCTCAGCTACAATGTGGTAGGCGTAATTACCTTCCTCCTAGTCTCAGCTAATGTATCCACCGAGGTTCCTCTTAACTCACAAATCCAGTAATGTTTTCTAGTGTACAAGTTCTTGGGCATTTTTGCTGACATTAGGCCAGTCAGTTGCTTCAATTTTCCCTCACGTGTTCAACTCTTATCTTTATTTATAATCAGGTTGGCTCCGTGCCTGGAGCTAGCATGGGTACATATTTATAATAGACTACTATCTAATGCATATTCATTATAGTCTGTAAATTTGGCAAAGAATTCTACAAAGCAGTCCAATCTGTTACAATGAATTGATAAAATCCATCACCCCTCTACAGCAGGGACTGCATGTAGTGTAGAACAGTAGTGGGTAAAATTACTAAGTGTCCTGTTTTGTTGTGAACCTTGATCCATTCAGACTCCTGGACCATATTTATCTGGCAGAAAAAAATTGTTCTCTCTTTTGAAACCCACTGTTGATATTGTATATTTTGTAAGATAAACAGAATATGATTGTGGCCATCATCTCTGAGTGGCATATGACAATCCCTGAATCTACAGTAGACCTTAAAGAGTGATGAGCAAAAAATTGTCTATGGCCTTTGTTCTGCTCTTTTGAGGCTTCTAAATACCACTTCAGGCACAGGCCCATTTAAAAAGAAATCCTGTTGACCGGTATTCCCCTCCCCCCCACCAAAAAAAACCCATGAAGAAAGTCCTCCCCCATTTATGAAAACAAACAAAATATACCTCTTCACTCCAGAACACTGTATTATCCCAAAGGGAAACATTTTGGTTTGCTTTAGAGATGGTAGAACTGAAGGGCAGGGGAGGCCTCAGAGGAAAATGACCCCATGGCCTCTACACAGTTGACCACCTTGCCTTAATGTAATGAATTTTAGAGTTGTCATTCACTTCCTATTCTAGAATTATTTCTGCAGAAGGTAATGGCACCCTCTTCGTATATTTGCCAAAGGTGTAGCTATATTATTATTTCTGTCTATCCTTTACCATAGCCCTAGAAGTATTTGCTTTTCTGTGGAAACATACCAGTCTTTTCCCACCTGTTTTGCAGAGTTCCAAAGTCCTTGCAAAGAAGGAACTTTCCTATATGCCGATCATTGGGTGGATGTGGTATTTCCTTGAAATGGTTTTCTGCAAGCGCAAATGGGAGGAGGATCGGAAAACTGTGGTGGAAGGCTTGCTTAATCTCCAAGACTATCCTGAAAACTTCTGGGTAAACATTGGCACACTTTGTTAATAATCAGTTTCACTTTCAGGAGGAACAGGTTACAAATCTTCACTTTTTTACTGTCTCACAATGTAAACAAAGAAAACATTTTAAAGGGTAGACATTGAGGTTTTGTGGTTTTGAACATTTAAAAATGATTTTTTTTACACTTCATAACTTTCTGCGAAAACATTGCAAGCTTTTATATGCTGTGGAAGTCTTGCACACAAAAACACTGTTAGCAAAAACGACAAAAAGTGCTGTTAGTTTAACTCTTGTGCTGAAGTCAAAAATCTTGTGGCAATTTTCCTAAATCTTATTCACTATTTCTTGATGAGGTAAAAATCTTTTTATGTCCTCGAGCCACAAGGATAGGTGGGTAAGAAATTAAATTATTATTATTATTATTATTATTATTATTATTATTATTATTTGGACAAGAAAAAATTGGATGCTCTCTACACAGAAACCATAAAATATTTGCATGAATATTTTTAATAAAAATGTCTTCCTAGAAGCCATTAAAAATGTAGAACTGTCTGAATGTGGGGCATGTTATGCTCTATATATGTCAAGATACATTAAGTGAAGCTGGTGATTCCTCTTCCATTTTTCTGCTAAAAATGCAGGGCAAAGGGCATACTTAAGAGTGAAAATCATTTATCATGTCATAATTAAGGGAAAAAGAATTGCTTCAGAATTTTCAGCAGTCAATGACACTAGGAAGAAGTCCAAAGATTTGCTTACAAGTTAACAAACAACATTAGTTGTATAATACTTTATGTCTTTATTTTCCTATGCATCTGATCTATTTGCCAGTTAGATGTTTCTTTATTATTGTCTATATCATAACTTCTTAAACTGTGGATCTTGACCTCAAATGAGTTCCCCTTAGCTCATTGTTGGGGTCCAGAATTTTTTTTTCTGAATGTCATCCAATGGCTGCTTTAAACATTTATATAAATCTCTTGTGGAGTGTTTACAGTGGACTCTGCAGATGATGCCTCTCATCTGTATTTCATAAAAAGAAAAATCACCCTGTTTAGCAAGCCTTGCAAGTGCTGATTTGTTATCGGTAAAGGTTTGATTTTTATACGTATTTTATATACCTATGTATCCAAGGTTATGTAAACATTTCTCAGGCCAAAAGGGGTCTTGAGTGGAAAAGTTTAAGAAGCCTTGGTCTATACAGCCAAATCGTTTGCATTTTACAGACTTCTCTGGTGTGGTCTAGATCAGGAATGGCAAACTAAAGACCAATAGGTTGCACTTCATTGTCTCCAGTCCCCTTCCTACAACACCTTATGGGTCTAACAAGCTGCCTCTGTGCAGGCAGGAGAGGAGAATTGTCTTCTCATTTTTCACTCAGAATGGCCCATACTGGCTTCATTTGGCTCTCAGCCAGGTTATTTATTTATTTATAAATGGCATTGATACATAACTTTACTTTTTCTTATTGCACAGTGAGCATTCATTCACAGCAGAATAGTATAGTGATTTTGTCATGCATCTGAAACAGGACTCTGTTTTTTGCTCCCTGGTTCTCTGCATTTTTAGCCAATCCAGCTTCTGAAGCTTAGTGCTTATTATGCTTTAGTATACAGGTGCCATTTGGTAATTTATCTCCAGTGCTGCCTGAATGCGAATCTGTAGTGATCATTTGTTTTCTTCTGGGCCAATCATCCACCAGGACACAGTAAAATAATTGGTTTCACATTTTTAGTGGTTGTTGCTGCTGTTGTTCCCATTTATTTTCCTTATCAAGCTGCTTCTTCCTTTCTTTTCCTCTTTCAGTTTTTAATTCACTGTGAAGGCACAAGATTCACAGAGCAAAAACACGAAATCAGCATGCAGGTGGCGGAAGCTAAAGGACTCCCCAAGCTCAAATACCATCTCCTGCCACGGACAAAGGGATTTGCTGTCACCGTCCAGTGTTTGAGAAATGTAGGTAAGGAATGGCACACAGAGGAAATTATAAGTCATTTAAAATGTGTTTGCACTGGCTGCTGTATCCCACAATGGAATAGGTATCTAGAACTGAAGAAGAATTTGAAATGAGATGGTTGTGTTTTCCAGGCACAGTATGTCACAGCAAACGAGATCTATATGCTGGATATCGTATCACAAAATCACAAGTCCAACACTTGTTGTTGTTATTATTATCGAAGGCTTTCATGGCGGGAATCACTGGGTTGTTGTAGGTTTTTTTCAGGCTATATGGCCATGTTCTAGAGGCATGGCCATATAGCCCGAAAAGACCTACAATAACCCATTATTATTATTATTATTATTATTATTATTATTATTATTAGTTCTGTAGCCTCTGAAAAAGGACATTGAAGCATATCCATAGGCTTTTTCCTAGATTAGACCATCTATTGACCACTTAAGAGATGTAGCTCACTGCCCCACTTTTTTCTATGGACAAGACAATAACCACTATATCTCACATTTCCACTCCCTGACACCTTTCTTTTTTTTTCTTAAAGCACTTTTGGTATTAATGGCTTTGGAAGCTAAATAAGATGCAGTGATATTTTAGGGCAATTTCACCTGTATAATTTAGGAATTCTTAATGCATATCCTCTTTGGTGCTTTGTTCAAGGGCATGTCATGTATCGTATCGTGCCTTACAAACCAAGAGCTACTTTTGAACTGCCGTGTCTGGATGAAATGTCAACATATCATATCATATAGTGTCTTCCCTTTTCTCATCCATTTTTTGTATTTGCATATTTAGTCTTGAACAAAGTAATATTAGCTGTGCTGAAAGGTAAAAGGTATGTCATATTTAGATTTTTTTTACTCTTCCCGGTGGGAAATGTCAGCATTTTCCACCCTGGGTGAAATGTGATTTTAAAAATCTAGGAAATGTTTCGTGTTAGTATGAAATGATTGCTTGTCGATGATAAGTGTCCCGTTAAACTGTGATAGGAGGATAATGAGAATGGACAGGCTCAATTGTGAATTGACTTGATCTCATTAGTCTTAGTTATTGGCAGTTGAGGAAGCACCACTGTTCTTTCCTTTTGAAGGATTGTTTTAACTGGTACATGAAGCTTTCTCAGCTTTCCTTCCAATGATCTCTAATTCAGGTTGTCACTTCACTTTCCATTACAGCTTTACAGCTACTGCTGCCATGGTAGCAGTTATTTGATTACCCATCACTTCCTGAAAGTGAAAACAAGGTTAACCTTTGAAGGCCCCTTTTTCATGGTTATATTTTGCAACATTTCAGATCCACTGAGTTTCTGGAGTTGCTGTCTTTTTTCTGCATTAACTCTGGCTTTTGGTTGTAAAGAGCTGTAAAAGAAGCTTTAAATAAATTGTATTTTAATCTAACTTCTGTCATTCTCTCCCAGGCAGCTCTATCCAAGCTTGTCACTTTTTTTAAAAAAAGAAGCAAATAAACTATAAGCTGTTTTTTTGTGAGTTTTCCGGGCTGTATGGCCATGTTCCAGAAGCATTCTCTCCTGATGTTTCACCTGCATCTATGGCAGGCATTCTAACAGGCTGTGAGGTCTGTTGGAAACTAGGAAAATTGGGTTTATATAACTGTGGCATGTCCAGGGTGGGAGAAAGAACTCTTGTCTGTTTGAGGTAGGTGTGAATGTTGCAATTGGCCATCTTGATTAGCATTTAATCATTCTGGCAGTAAGAAGCCACACCTTAAAACTGCTAGGCCATTAAATGGTAATCAAGGTGGCCAGTTGTAACATTTCCACAGATATCATTTTAGTACACCATTACATATAATGCGACATGAGCATCCCCAGATTTTGTTATCTACACAGTAGGTCCCAGAACCAAAACCCAACAGGACCCCCCTTGTAAGATTTTATGCCAAATCAATTTATACATAACATATTTTGTGTTCCTTGGGTAATAAACTTTCAAAATCATATTTCCAAATGTTAGCAGACTTTTCCCATTGTTTCCCTTAAAAAACAAAACATAGAAAACATACCCAACATCAAGGAGCTCTGGTCAATGTTGGCTTTAGTCACACAATCACATAATCAACTTTACTGTGTATCTCCCTGGGGTCAACAGCAAGAACTGCTCTCAGTGGTATTTCCTTGGTATTTGATAGATTTGGAATCCTCCTTTTGACTGAACTAAACTCTTGGAAAGGGATGAAAATACTGGTATACAGGCACCCGACTTACATATGACTCATAGTGAAGAACCGGGGTTAGACAACGGGAAGTGAGATAAATCCACCCCTTGGAAGGGAAATTCACCCCTGAAAGAGTTATAATGGGGGAAAGGTGTCTCTGCTGAAGCTTTCTCACAAATCCTTGTTTCCACAACAAGCCAAATTTTTCAAAATCCAGTTATCACAGGGACAGAAAGTGAGGTGAAATTTTCTGAAAAGGGACACACAGCAAAACAAACACCACAGGCATGTTAACCCTTCCCTATGCTATTAATAGCTATAGAGACTGAAGGGGAGAGGGAGAAGGTGGAGGTATACTTAAAAATGTACTTGTTCTGACTTACATACAAATTCAGCTTAAGAGCAAACCTACAAAATCTATCTTTTTCATAACTTGGAGACCTTCTGTACAGTCTTTTGCTGCAGAAGGCTGTAGTTGTCAGTTTGGGACCCTGTGAATTTCAAGCAGTGTTCATTTTGATGCCTCAATAATGATGAAAACTAATCTGTGGGAGCAATCACAGTGCAGTGTCTTCTTTGCAGTTTCTGCCGTGTATGATTCTACGCTGAACTTTAGAAACAATGAAAATCCAACTTTGCTGGGAGTTTTAAATGGGAAGAAATACCATGCAGATTTATATGTCAGGCAAGTATTTTTCCCCTTGTGCTTTCATTTCCTGAGCGATGTATTGTATTTGTAAGCAAAAAGAGCTGATGTTAAAATTCAAAGCAGCAAATATATGGTCTGTTCCAAAAGAAATGATTATATTTTTTGGCCAGTGCGGATGGGCCAGGAAAGGAAACTGGGGTTGAGACAGGTGGAGGGGGAACCCATGCATTCAGTTTGACCTTCTCCAGTTGAGTCCTGGCCTAGCAGTTGATATGTTAGTAAAGTGCATAGTAATTTTTGTGTCTTCACAGGCAAACATGCTGAAGAGTCTGAAGCAATGTTCTTCAACTTCAAGAACTTCAGGAGGCTAGCGTGTCTGTCAGTCAGTCAGTAGCTTTTATTTCAGTCAACAAACCTTTGGTTAAGTCAAGTGAAAGTAGAATGATGGAATACAAGATTTAAGTAATGAATAACATCACATTTGGCTTATGATTAATGGAAACAAATATCACCATCCTCTATCGGTTGAATGACTATCTTTATAATCTAAAGCAGGAACTGACTGCCAATTAGTAATAAGTCTCCTGAGTACTCTTTGTTACAATCTCAGCATTTACCGATTATTCATGAAGCACTTGCAGCTTTTTGTCGCTGCAAAGAGAAATTTGGCCACCTGTTCCCTTTTGGGTGTCTGTTTGTGCGAAGCCTGTTCTGAACACTTCCCCACCAATTGCACAGCCCTAACTTGGCTCATGCAATTACTTCCCCCAAGTTCAAAGCCCACCCCAAAGGCATCATTTGGGAACAGATGAAAACATCCAGGCAGCTGCAATGAGGACTTTGAATAACATCTCAAGTGAAGAGTGGAATCACTGTATTTGATCACAAGGAGCCAATTTTGAAGAGGATTTTCTTAACTTTTGGAACACACCACATGGATTCTGCTTTACTTTTGACATATTAGTTGTCCATGAATACTTTCATATTTTTTGAGTTGCTACGGTCTAAATTCCACAGTGAAAGAAAGGAGGACATTGGCTTTTTGGTTCTGTTTCCTCATGCTGCCCTTCCCTTCCTTTTATCCATCTATAGGCGGATTCCATTAGGAGAAGTCCCAGAAGATGAGCAAGAATGTTCTAATTGGCTTCACAAACTCTATCAGGAAAAGGTTGGTTTATTATTTAGGAGCCCCTGCAATGATGAAGTATTTATATGGATTGTAGTCTCTTTGTACACAGCAGTGTATCTTGCAATGCATATGTTAAAACTGTGTTTCTTAAAGGAATAAAAATCAGCCGTTCATAATGACGAAGGAAGAGCAAAGGAAAACAGAGGCCTCCCTTAGAGCTGTTTTCTTCTTACAGCTCAAAGCACAATCTGCTGCTGGATCATTTTTTATTGGGCTGTGTTGTGGATTGTGTACCAGGCATTATGTATAGCACTATTCCCACCATTTTCTCTCTCCCCCCACAACTCCACCTTTCCACAGAATTCAAATTGAATCGAAATTGTCAAGCAGCCATGCTAAGAATGGAATTGTACTCAGTTGTTCACTTTACAGGCCTTTTCTCCAAGATTGGGACCCAAGGTGGCTTACAGATAAAAACAAATAGAAATAAAATCACATGTAGCTAAAAATGTACAGAAATCAAAGTTTTCTCTTTGTAGAATTGTCACCATTGAAAAAAAATTAAAACGTAGAATAAATGTATGCAGCACAGTAGACCATTTTACATAGTTTCCATGTAAAACAGTATCCAAACCCTTGTATATGTAGGAAGAGTTTCAACTGTTGGTCATGAGGCAGCAAACCTGCCCTCCCTTGAAATTGACAAATGAAGGCATTTGGAGCCACATTTGGGTTGTCTTCTTCATCAGAATGTATTGCTCCAAAATGTGTAAAGGTCTCTAATTCTTTAGCATAAACCCACCAGAGGAAATCAGCAAATTATAAAGAACTAGCTTGGGTACCCAGCGTTGCCTGGGCTATTTGAAAAAGTGTTTTTTTTTAATTTTACAAAATGCATAAGGTTGTCAGTGAACTACAACTCACATCATGCCAGGTTACCTCCCTGAAACTCCATCAGTAGTTAAAGTTTGTCGTGATGGGCAAGTTTGCTCTAGATGCATCTTTGGTGGGGTTCAGTGTGCTCTCTGGCTGCAGGATAAACTAGAACTCCCACCATGATGGGTCAGTCCCCTCAAATCCCTCCAATGCTTTCAGTTGATCATGGAGGTTCTGCGTGCCAAGTTAGCTCCAGGGCTATCATTGGTGGGGTCCAGAGTGCTCTTTGATTGCAGGTGAACTATAAATCCTAGTACCTACAATGGCTATAAATCAAGATGAATTCTCCCCAAACTTCTCCAGTATTTTTCTTTAGTCATCATGGTTCTGTGTGCCAAATGTAGTCCAGGTCCATTGTCAGTGCGGGTCACAGTGCTCTGACTTGATGCAGGGTGAACGACAATTTCCATCATATGAACCCCCAAACTCCTCCAGTATGTTTAGCTGCTGATTAGTTCTGTTGTGCAGACAGATTTGAAAAGAGTAGGAAGGGTTAAGGGAGAGGCAGTGGGCGGGATCATGCAAATTTCACATCAATGGTTTTTTTCATGGTTTTGAAAAACAGGAAAAGAATTTGAGCTCTGCTGATCAGGTTTGGCTTCCAGAGAAACCTAGCAGTGATGGATTATTCCTTACTTCAACCCTGAGAATGTGGCTGGATCCCAAGTATAGTCCTGATTACTTTTGCCCCCAACCTCCCAAATCTCACAAATCATGCACAATTCTTCCACTTCTTTCAGAAGAATATTGATGCCCACCAGAAATGGATGGACTTTGGGGGCAAGAAATAATGTATTCTTCTATTTCTAGCAACAAAAAAGGGAAAATAAAGGACTGGAAATTAGGATTTTATGTACATAGTAAAGGATTAAAGCAGGTATGGTGTACATGGGTTGTCCATTGTCAAGGTTTAACTATATGGCAGACATCTAAATTCGAATATGAATTTATAGTGTGAAGATGAATATATGTATACAAATTAACATAAATGTAAGAGGAACTATTTACATAGCTGTTAAGGATTGTAGTTTTTATTATGTGGTTGTATTGTGTGGCCTTGTTCCTTCGTTCTTTGGGTTTCTGTGAACTTCCTGTTGAACATCAACCTCAATGCCTTTTAGGCAGACAGATGTTTAAAAACATAATGGCTGAGATTATACATCAAGAAGGTGGAGCTCATCAAATTACAAGGCAATTACCAGTGAAAGCTCTCCAGCAAATTGCAACCAAATGTACTTTGCACCTGGAGCTATGCATATTGTTAGGACTTTGCTTTCATTTCCACTGCAGTGTTTCTATAACCAAAAAAGCAGTGGCACCTTATAGCTGCATAGCAGTTTGTCTCTCTGGGAAATTAAAACTGCTTGATAGGAAAAGGAAACAAAAGCTTAGAATAGACATCATCATCATTACCATCATTATCATTGTTAGCTGGCACCTTTTTGGGGATATACATCATAAACTAATTTGCAATTGCATAATTTAGAGTTGTGATATCACATTCTGAAATTGTATTTCCAGAAGTGGTGTGTTGTCATATTTGGAACGACTGTTCATTCTGAGTAAGCACTTGGACACTGTGAAGTTGCTGTTGTTGTCAACTTTATTCTGCTTTGCCCCTTTAAGGATCAGCACAAGTCTCTGGCATGTTTGTGTGCTGGGTAGGCAATAGAGCCCCATCATTTCAAAGTTATGCATTAAATACTGTGATGTGGGATCTCAATCTTTATTTATGTACCTCTCTTTTCCCTAAAATTAGAATTCAAGGACAGATTAACTGAGATTTGAGGCAGTTGTGCCCTGTGTTCTTGGATCAAGTTATGAGCAAACGACAATTGATTTTTGTTTGTTTGCTTGTTTTAGTAAGAGAAGCATATTCATGTTATGCACATCCAAAGGGAAGATGTTTATGTGTGGATTGATGTGTCTTCTACTCACTGATCCCATTCTTGTCATTCCCTCCTTAACCAGGACTCTTTTCAAGAGGAATACTACAAAACAGGAGTCTACCCTGGTACTCCAATAGTGCCATCCCGGCGACCATGGACTCTTTTGAACTGGCTTTTTTGGGCCTTATTGCTTCTATATCCTTTGTTCAAGTTGCTCATCAACATGATCAGCAGCGGCTCTTCACTTACACTTGCCACATTTGCCTTTGTCTTTGTAGCAGGTGAGTTGTGTGCAAACATAAGAGTGCATCTAGAAAAAAAATTGCAAGGAAAAAGCCCCTACTCTCTATTGACCCTACTCTCTCTATCTGCGCTACATATAAAATCAGCAGTTGGATTCTGGCATGATAGTTGTGTGGCATAAATAGTGCTGGAATGCAGTTGGCTGAAGTTTCGCAGCATTGTACTAACCATCCCTCAAACATAACCTCATCTTCCCCTTCTTGCTTTTGAAAAACAGAAAATTAGGCTGGAAAGTGCTTGTGGAAAAGTACATCAAAGAACATACTTTTCTTCTGTCCAGGGAACAAAGAGGAAAGGAATGCATTGAAGTTAACACATTTTCAAATACACTGTACCAAACTAATCCTTTTCCTCACCTCAGCCCCTTTCATTAAAGATTGTTCTTTGGAAAGACTAAATTATCAAGTTAGCAAAACTATGGGTACAGCAGTTTCTGAATCTTTCAATCTTACCTGATCTTCATAGTATTTAAAAGGAGGTAGAAGGGAATGTTTACCTGATTTCTTTATGATACAGTCTTGTGCATTACTCAAGTACCCAGTCTTTTGCTATTTTATAAGAATTTTGTTCTTCTCCATAGATGCATGGCAGATTGTGCTCCCTTCTTATTTTATCCTATTCTACAAAAAAAGTGAGATTAGTTTTTTGTTTGCATTTCCTTCTGTTTCTGGCCATTTTAGTGTGTGCTTAATGGCTAAGTGGGGATGTGAAATTGGATCGTCCCACTCCTAAGCTGACGAAATTTGTTGGATTTGTATTTCCCTACAAAAATATCCATCTCACTTCTCACTTAGTATGTGCTTCATGGCTAAGTGGGGATGTGAAATTGGATCACCCCACTCCTAAGCCGACGAAATTTGTTGGATTTATATTTCCCTACAAAAATATCCATCTCACTTCTCAAGACACAACATAGGGGAAAAAACATGTAAGAATAAATAGCTCTTCAGGATGTTACTGCGGGCCTCCCAACTTGTGCCGTGGTCTTCAATGTACACTCTAAGGCTATGCTGTCAAGGATTGGTCTTCAAGTTGTCTTGGGTAAGCATGGCCTGTCACTGTTGGCATTTGTGCCCACTCATTGGATCAAGTTTTCTTTGCCTTGTTGAGATTGTGCTGATTTGGGTGTGGAGGAATTTATGCACTTCCTTCTCCAGAATATATCACAACTTGGTGGAGCATGATCAACCAGGAAACAAGGAAGACTAATTTATAATATTTCCCCCTATTTTTCTTAATGAAGGCAAAAATGAAGGTGCTGAAATGTCTTAAGGGTGACTGGGGTGATTTTGGGATCTTTGTTGCTGGCAGTTTCTCTCAGGACATTCAATTTCACTTTGCTTTTTGTTTTTGTTTTACAGTATTGGTTTTTTTTTGTTCTGATAACTTTGTTTTAGTCAATGGATAGGGTTTATACACTGAATCTTACATTTACCGAATTGTAGGCTGATGCCGTTTAACAATAACAGCCAGATTGCGGAACTCTCTAATTTGAAAGTATAGAGTACAATAAAAGATTTTTTCCCCTTAGGTAATGGAAAGTAGAGCAGCCTTTTATAGCATGTTCTTTCATAGACCACCTGGAGTGGGTTTCTGTAGTTCACACGTTTCTTTGTTCTGCAACATCCTATTCCAAAATGTTCCCTTATGAGATGTGCTTCACTCTTGTCAAACCAGGCATTTCAGGATTGGAGAGTATCATGCCTTTTCATTATAGATGTGTTCAGGTAAGATGTCCTAGGATAATTCAAAGCAGTCTGTGAGGAAATTGGTTTGCTTTCTCTTGCCTGTAATTCTCCATTTTTTAAAGTGTTATCTCGTTCCTACCTTTATGCCCTGGCCTGATCTCTAACTTGTGGCATTCACAGCATGCAACAGAGCAAAGCAAATTGGTACTCTGTTCAAATGGGAACTGTACGACAAGATGTTGTGAGCTGCAATTGCAAAGAACCAGAAGTTTGTTCCTGTTGGTAGGAGTTTGCTGGCCTGCCAGCTTTTGCAGGCAATGTTCTGTTTTGCCCTTATGCAGATGCAGGTGAGGTTCACAACTAACTTCAATAGATTTTTGTGAGTTTATCAAAACTGAAGAGCCCTGGTTTTGTGGAGGTTATTTAATCAGTACCAGTTATAAAATCTCACTGTCCTGGACAGCTAGATTATGGTAATGGGATATAGTAATTTAGGGTTGTTGGGGGACAATGAAGTGCTTGCCCTCTATACCTCTGTGTAATCTGGGCACCTCTGAACGCTCTACCGTGAATGTATAGTTTGCACATGGCTCTCAAAAGGGAAAACTGCATTGATGTAACCCAAATCCCTATAGTGGTAAGGAAATCTTTCTGTCGGAGATGATGCAGAAGAATTAAAATCTTGCTGCTGGTCAGATGGTGGCACATACATTTAATGTATGTGCCATATTATTCTTGGATTGGCCAAATGGTGCCATATTACAGCTCCCAAGTGTAATATGGCTTCTTTTCATTTGATATATTACGTCTAGGGGACTATTTTGATATCATGTTTGTTACAACAACATAAACACATTACATTCTTAAGGCTTACATGTCTTCTACCTAACCACAACATGAAGTGAGAAAACAACTCTACTGACATTGTTGTGCAGTAATTTGTTTGATTATTTCCCAAACTAGCATTGATATTTAGGATAATCTCACAAACTCAATACTGGAAAGGATGTGCTGAGTTTTTAAAGGAGAGATAAAGATTATGCTTCTGAGTATTTCATAAAAGGAGCATCTGAGGTGCTATGTAATGCCTCCACCTTATGCATTTTTACAGGCAAGAGAATGAAATGATATTTTAAAAACCTTGCAAATAGTGATAGATAAAATAGCATGAAAAGATTTACTATGGCCTGGTTAAGGCCAGATTTGATTGTTTTAATGGAAAGGATTTAAGGGTGTTCTTCAGTCTGTAATCATACTTCTCTGTGGGTAGCAGGGTAAAGATTTGAAGAGGCAATTCTCCTCTTTTAAGACCTCCTCCTATACAAGGGATTGTTCCTAAACTACACAAGCAATTGTCAGTTGACTAAATTACAGAAAGAAGAAACATTGTTTTAATTGCTCATGTTGCATGGACTACTGCATGTTCAGTGCATGCAGTTTATCTGAAGCTACTTTGAACATAATGCATTTTAAACTTTCAAACAAGTATGCATCTGAAACATTAATGAACATTCATAAATAATCAGAAAGCAAAGGAGTCCCTATAACATGTTGATGGCACAGGTGTCATTGAAGGCGCAGAATCAGAGACTGCAAAATAAATATGGAAACATGCCATCCATACATTTGAAGTCTTTCGAAATGGAAGTTATGTTATGAAAATGCTTGGACTGATCTCATAAGAAACCAGAACATTTTTTAAATACCCATCTGAAATAGCCCAGAATCCTGTTGGAGGATCATGCTCTGGCTTCCCTCTGTGGCTGTACTTTTTACATACTTTCATAAGGAGGCATCCAGTGCCTTTTCACGCGACAACACTTCCATTGTCCTGCAGTGCAACATGCCAACATAAAGGCAGATGTAGTACATCGCCACAGCTCCTGACACAGCCACTGGAACAGCTATTACTATGTCACATGGAATAGTCTCACAGAGTCTTGCATTTCACAGATGTTGTACATGGTATTTGCCATAATCTTGAATAACCATGTTAGATTGATATTTTATTTTATTTTGTGGGGTGTGGGTAAATCCATAAAGAAAGGTTAAATGCTAAGGTTGGGTGTTGTTATTTTTTTTAAAAATAGCAGTTGTCACACAGAAGCTTTTCACTAGTTCTAGATCCTATCTGAACTTGGAAGCTAAGCTAAGTCAGGTCAGTCATGATTTGTGCTTAGATGGGTGGGCACCAGTTAATACCAGGTGCTGTAAGCTAACTTTCAGAGTTTGGAACTGACAAAGCAACCTTTGAGTGTTCCATACCTAAGAAAACCATATGAAATTCACGGAATTACTGAAAGTCGACAGCCAACTTAAAGGCTTATATACACACACATGCATATATAATCCATGGTGAAGTAGTGGCACCTGTCTTTGGTCGAGTCCTATGTTTAGCGTCTATAAGCTGTCCTTCTAAAAGCCCACCCAGAAGTGGTTCTGAGAATGGCAAGGCCGCCAGTCACTCACAGTTGTCACTGTTGCCATGACAGGAAGATTTATATGTTTAGGCCAGGGTCCTCAAACTTTTTAAACAGAGGGCCAGGTCACAGTCCCTCAAACTGACGGAAGGCCGGATTATAATTTGAAAAAAAATGAATGAATTCCGGTGCACACTGCACATATCTTATTTGTAGTGCAAAAGCCACTTTAAAACAATACAATAATTAAAATGAAGAACAATTTTAACAACTATAAATTGATTAGTATTTCAATGGGAAGTGTGGGTCTGCTTTTGACAGATGAGATAGGATTGTTGTTGTTATTGTGTGCTTTTGAGTCATTACAGACTTAGGTTGACCCTGAGCGAGGGCTGGGTAAATGACCTTGGAGGGCCGCATCAGGTCCCCGGGCCTTAGTTTGAGGACCCCTGGTTTAAACCAATGGTTCTCAACCTGTGGGTCCCCAAATGCTTTGGCCTTCAACTCCCAGAAATCTTAACAGATGGTAAACTGGCTGGGATTTCTGGGAGTTGTAGGCCAGAACACCTGGGGACCCACAGGCTGAGAACCACTGCTTTAGACCCAAGGATCTGAGTGTCAGTGGGTGGAATGGCATAATTTGGAAAGCAGGTTTGCCAAGGCTGCTTATACTGTAAATTAAAATGGTGGTGGATGGTTTGGTATTACATGTTACTGCACATTGCTTCATTCATGGATTTTAATTTCACCAAGGTTTGTCAGACTCTCCGTTTAATAATGAATACAAGAGTTTTTCAAGGGAAGCTGCAAGAAACCCATCTACTGGCCATAGGAAGAATAACTCCTCTATAAGAACCATTACACTTTGCATGTGAACACTATGGTGAATGAATGGCAAGGACAGCTATTATTAGAAGAGGAAGAAACATATGTTTCTATTTTAAGTTTCTGTAGGACTACCATAGTAAAATTGTTTTGTCGTAAACACTTTTTTTGATTGATACATGAATTATTTGCTTGACTTTTCAGCTATGCAACTGGGAATGGTTACTGTTTATACATCATCTGGCTTTCTCAATTATATAGCTGTGTATTATTTCTCGGTAAACACTACAAAACAATATTAGCTATACAATTTCCTACAATGCTGGACCTTATATAAATTTTAATGCAGCCTAATAATCACTTAAAGATTTTTATGATTGTGACCACATATGCTCATAGTTTCTAGCACTACTTTTTTCAGCTGTGAATACTCTCTTACAGGAACATTTCCATTCAAATAGCTATGGCGTAATATCAAATTACTTTGTTAAGCATTGCAAAATTGCTCCACTACGCTAGGTTTTTGCTCTTTCTATCAAATTGCTGTTGTGCCACTTTGAAAAATCAGTGGGAAGTGATCCTTGTTGTGGGACCAGCTCTGTGTACCTGTAGTTCACTTTGGTCTCAGAGCAGCATTAATCAAGCCTATGTCCCATTGAATCTGTTTGAAACCAGTGGATAGATTTATTGCAGTTTGAGCCCACTGTAACTACCATGACTCAGTGCTATGGAATCAGGTTTACAAGGTCTTTAGCCTTCTCTACCAAAGAATGCTGGTGCCTCACCAAGTCTCATTGAAAGAAATAGGCTTATGATAAGCTTCTATTGTATTCAAGCCTCCCTGCCACAGCTATCTTTGTCAGGTGAACAGGTATTCAGGAGGTGATGCATGGCATGTTTCCCCTCTTTACACTGTTATTTTCACTCTTGCATCATTCATTGTCAAGGTTCCTATTGATAACTTCTCTTTATATCCCTACAGCCCAAAGTGTTCATTTCTAACAAAAACAGTAGGAGTTTTGGATAAGTAATTTGCTTGAATAGCAGTGCTACTCAGGTAGGAGGGGAGAAGTTATTGGGTCCTACTAGAGAGTGCATCATCTTTAAAGTAACATCGGTAGTGGAGTTTAACTCAGCAGAATTTTTTTCTAATATAACTGCATGAGCATGTCTCTCTGACTGAACAGTGCATGTGTTTTCTGTGTGTGTAGATGTGTCTGTGTTCCTCTTTCTCTTTCTCCCCCCCCCCCCTTCTTTCTAGGACTCTGCTAGGTGACTATTGGTTAAGGACCTTGGAGAGCGCTTGAAGCTAGTAAGTGATATTGTTTGAGGCCACCCAGCAGCCAAGAATTTCCAAGGGAATTTAGAAAAATGTAGGTAGCACTGGGTGTGCTAAAGGCTGAACTTTCTCTCTGTTAAGACTTCTGCCAAAATTTAAATCATGTTTACAAAAAAAAGAAGCAAGCTATATAGGATGTTCAGGGTAATACTTCTGTTACTCCCAAAAGCTTTCTGCAATCTGTAGGGCGGAATAGCAATATGACCTGGAGGAGTAGGCACCCTGGAGAGAAACCAGAGGTTCAGAATACTGGATCCATCCCATTTCTTTTCCATACAGATCACTTTAAGATCAGTCACATTGTTATAGCTGTTAGCAAGCACATAATTTACAACTTACTAATAAGAAAAAGTGAGCTAATATTATATACATATCAATGGAAAGCAGAATCAAATGCAAAGGGGGGGGGGTTATGAAAGGGAGACCTACAAACTCAGATCTTGAGAAAACACAAACAACTGTGGTGCCAATGGCTCTCTGAGGAATTGCAAACTGGAATGCCAAAACATTAGAATGAAGTTGCCATAGACAATAGCTGTTACAAAAACCAAAACTGCTAGGAAACTGAATACACAGTGGAACAATGCCTCTTGGGAATTGATGGTCCAAAACTCCAGCTGGTAACACCTGGTTGATTGTAAACCAATTATAAAGTAATTGTTAATATTAATATTTCACTTTGGGTTTTTGAGGAGGATTGACATGCAATAATCATTTTATCACATACTTCTATAATAGAAAACATTGCTTTGCATGGGAGGGTTTCAGATTCCATTCCTGGTGTCTTTAGTTAAAAGAATCAGGAAACCGATGACAGGATGGATATCACTCTACCTGAGAATATTGTGCCACTCATGGTAATTAACATCAATTATGGAATAAATATATAGCAGGGTTTGGTGTAAAATGGGTTTTTGTGTGGCTCAAACTGAGTGCTTTGAATGTGGTTTTCCTGCTTCTTGGGAGGAGATTGGACTCTTCCAAATCTAGGATTCTATGATTCCTGCATTTACCTGTCTCTACAAGTCTTTTTCATGCACATGGGTTTATGTACATGATTCTAAAGTGCCATGGAATCTAATGCATACCTCAATTTTGCAGATGCAATTTAGCCAAAAAGGGGGAACATTAGACTAAATATAGTATATTGTCTGTGCTTTAGTAGTTTGCTTGCAGATGAAAGATACCAGCTTCTGAAAGTATACTTCATGGTATTATTCTTGTGCATTTCACTTTAACAGAGCTATAATAAGAGCATTCTAATATGGAAAGATGGCTGCAAATAGATTGGCTTGCATTGTGGTCTAGGGTGCCCTTACTTTTAAAGGTCTTACACAATGGCATATGTAAGTCCAGAAGAGCACTCTATCCCTTGGGATTGATTTCTGATCTCTTGAGTACACATCACTTGCTTTTTTGAGTCTGTTCAGGAGTTTGGTCTGTGAAATGTCTCTTCAGTGTTTTTCATTTCAAGTCTTTTTAGAGTTTCTAGTTCAGAAAGGTACATTTTCTGTCACACTAAATCCTAAAGATACTTCTTGAAGAGGCAGGGATAAAGAAAATTGGGCTATAGCCACCTTTGCCTAAGCTTATCTGGCACTGTTAATAGGGTACACAGTAGGGTGCACAGTCAGTGCTTGAATGACATGTCATACCTGAGTCCGATGTTTTCTTCTGCTTCTATTCTTGTGCTCAGGATTAATAATCAAATGTGACTTAGAACAAGAAATGGCTATTTTACTAGCCAGACGCCTATCTTGCTCCTGGCTGGTTCTGTCTTGTTCTAGTGATACCCTTGATGACTAGTCCTTCTCCTCTGGAAAGGTTGTTGCACTGTAATTTTAATGCTTGTTAAGATCCAACCTTCCTGGCTGATCAAATAGGCCAGAGGAGGACTGGCAGAATGGGTGAAGGTGGTGATCAATGCCTCCTTGGAACAAGGCAAAGTTCAAACTTGCCTAAAGGAGGCAGTTGTGAGACCTATATTTAAAAAGCTATCCTTGAACCTCTCTATAATGGATAACTATCAGCCAGTGTCCAATCTTCCCTTTCTAAGCAAATTGAAGCTTAATCCAAATTGAAGTTTAATCCAGACAAGACAGAAGAACTCCTGGTCAGCCAGAAGGCAGAGCAGGGAATAGGGATTAAAACCTGTGCTGGATGCGGTTACACTCCCCCTGAAAACACAGGTCTGCAGTTTATGGGTCCTCCTGGACTCCTGCACAATTAAAACTTGGGCACCAACTGCTCCCATTCCTTGAGAAGCCAGATCTTGTTATGGTGGTTCGTGCCTTAGTTGTATCCTGTCTGGATTACTGTAACATGCTCTACGTGATGTTGCCTCTGAAGAATGCTTGGAAACTTCAGCTGTTCCAAAAAGCTGCAGCCAGGTTGCTAACAGGCTGGCTACCGAGAGCAAACAACCCCCATACTGAAGCAGCTCCACTGGCTGCCAGTCTGTTTCTGGGCACAATTCAAAGTGCTGATTGTGACCTTTAAAGCCCTAGCTGGTTCAGATCCAGGCTATTTGGCTGACTGCATTCCCTTGTACAAACCTGTACAGGCTCCGAGATTTTCCGGAATGGCTCTTCTCTTGGTCCCACCTCCATTGCAAGCATGGTTGGCGAGAATGAGAGAGCGGGTCTTCCTTCTCAATGGCTGCCCCACGACTCTGGAACTCCTTGCCTTGGGAAGCCAGAACAGTCCCCTCCATGCTGTCCTTCCAATGGCAGGCCAAAACTTTCTTATTCAGACAGGCTTTTAAAGATGAAGGTGTTTCAAATCTAGTCAAGGGTGCTGTGGTTTTTAACTCTAAATATGTTTTAGATAGATTTTAACTGATTTTTTAGTGCAGTTTTGTTTAATTCTCTTTTAATGGTTGTATATTTGCATATTTAAATTATATACTAATGGTTTTATGTCAAGCTGCCTTTGAGAAGATAAAGTGAGGTATAAATCAATATAATAATAATCCATTTGATCACATTTAATGTGTTTTCTCTCATTTGAAGCTTATGCTTACTTCAGGGGTCAACTATAGCAGTACTGAAACAGTGTCAACTAGTATATGGGAATCATGCTAGCCAGCATAATCAGTGCTAAAGAATGCTAAATATCGCTTGGGGGGGCATGATTCTTGCCCAATGTATAAGTTACCTGGAAGGTAGAATTTAAGTTCAAAAATAATAAAATAAACTTAACTAAATTTTAACTTTTTTGCAGGTACAGAATGGAAAAACGTCCCCTTTTTACTTGGATTTTACTTTTGCTGTAAATATCGCCCATTTTTCTCAGAATTATAGTTGGGAGACTATAGATCAAGCATGCACACCTCCAGATGTTTGAGATTCCAATTCCTAGAAGCCCTAACCAGCTTGTCCAACTGAGAGGAATTCTGGGAGCTGAAGTCCAGAACATCTGGAGGGCCACTGGATTAGTCATTGCGCTATAGATCCTGCTTTAAATCAAGAGCCGACCATTAAAAGGATTAATCTTTGTGCATCAAAATATTTGACAATTAACCATGATCGACTTCACACAGAAACATTTATTTGTACCACAATTCCCCAAAGGCTCATTCTTTTTCTGTTCTTTGGCATAATGTTCTAAGGTAACATAATATTAATAAGGTGAGCAAGAGCATTTAAAATGGTTTTCTCTATGTGAGAAAATTTGTTAATGGTTTCACTTCTTTCTTGAGCAGTTCTTAAGACAAATATTATTTCCTTATTTCAGCTTCAGCTGGTGTTCGATGGATGATAGGAGTCACAGAAATAAACAAAGGGTCAACTTATGGCAACCACAGTCACAAGGGGAAAATAAAGTGAAATATCCAGAGACTGCTTCACGCCCAAAGGAAACACACATGTCTGTTCGAAATGGTTGTGCATATCAATTTCCTTCAAACACAAGGATCAGGAAGACCAACAGAGAGAAGGTCACATGTTTGCTGAAATCATGCTCCTCTTTCCTTTTGATTCACACTCTGACATGGAACATTTGTCGATATTCTGCCCAAAATTTTAACATTTTTCCTACCTGGTTTTTCACAGGAAAAATCTGTTGAAAATTAAGGAACACAAAATATGCCAGGGGGCAGTTTAGCAAGGAAATATTCAAAGGAATTAATGTTTGTTTTCTCCCCTCACACCATTTCAGCGGATAAATAATAAATAGATTAATAAAATTTACTTTTGTACAAAGTGACTCAACTAGATGTTTTACATGTAAGAACACGAAAAGATCCTTAGCGGATCAGATCAAAGGGGTCTGTTGTCAACAGGCCTGTTTCCAGAGGCTTCCAGGTATTCTTGAGAGATCCACAAAGCAGAACATCAATGAGGTGGCACCTCAGCAGATGGTACTGAGGATCATACTACCTTGGATTCTGGGGTTAAAAGAAAGTCACTGTGGCTAATAGCTACTTGCTGCCTTACCACATAATATTTTCCCACTCTCCTTTAAAGCTATACGAGTTCAGAGTCTGTGTTAGATCTTGTGGGATCCATCCCCAAATCTTAACCATGCATTCCATGAAGTTATACTTCTTTCTTTCTGTTCTGAATTTCCCAATATTTAAACTCAGTGGATGACACTTGCCTCTAGAATTATGAAAGATGGTGGAAAAAAATCACAATTTCCAAATGTTTTGTTATGCACAATATTATACATTTGCACTATATCCCATTTCTTATACATTCCTCAAATCCCTAAAAAAATTTCGATGGTTATATTTTTTTCTTTATTGTTACTTTTATCATTTCACTTGCCTATTTTTACAACTCTAGTCTTTTGAGATGCAACTACCAGAATTTTTTAAGTGCTGTCATACCACAAATTGCAATAAGGTATAGTTTCCTTTGCTATTAGCTTCAGCATAGAATTTCAATCTTTCACAGCCTATATACTTATGGCCCTCCCCCTACCTGTAACTGCCAACATAGACCTTACAGTGCATTTGTAGCTGGATGATTTAATCCATTTCATCTCCGTTCTCTCTGGTGCCTTTGGTGAAAAACATCCAAAATTATTTGAAACTGCAATTGCAGAAAAGAGTCTATCAAATCATTATCCAAATGAGCATTCACAATTTCAGAAAAGACTTAAAGACACTTATCTTTTGCAGAACCCATGTTTTTGCTCTAAGATCCTTTAAGTTTTAATAAAGTGGTCAACCAGATTACCTAAATAGAAGCACCTACAATTTGCTTTTTGGGAATGTGGACAAACCTGTTTTACTCAATGAGGGTATGCACACACTTGAAAAATGTGCACAAAAATACATGCAACAGATACTTTAAAAAGATTTGCAATTTATTTCCATTCTCTGTATTAACGTAGCATTTCAGAGAAAACTACAATTTTCTGTTTCTACTCTAGTAACCTAAAGTTGGCTTCCAGGACATTACATAATTGATGCTGCCCTCCCCAATACAAGAAGCCTATCCAGATAAGGCATGCTATCTGCTGCCTTTGCATCAGGCAGGCAAGTTATCATTCATTCATCCTTCCTGCCTGTCAAAAAGTCTCTGCAAGTCTAATGATGAATATGGTAACTGACCCCTTAGAAGTTTGTATGACTCCCAGGCTTCCAAGAAGGGAGGAATCTTTTCTAAAGGACCACTTCTCTCCTTTCAATGACACCCTTCTTCCTGAAGAACCACATTCTCAACTACTATCCCTGAAAGCCTGGATTCCAAACATTGTATCCCTTATCTTCTCTAGATTAATTAGGTCACCCCTGAGGGATCTCACTGCACCAAACACACACAACCCATGCCCAGTAAGAACACAGTTATATGTGTCACAAACTCTTACAGATGCTTAACTTATCTGGTTGCAGTTTTTAATTTGGCACTTCTGACAGAAACTGACATTTCATCAGATGAGGCTATCCTCATGCTTACAAGTTTGCCATACTTTTAACTAGCTCTCTCCACTTTTGTTGCAGCTATTTAGTTTGGGATGGCCATGTTTTAAAAACTAGAAGTTACTTGCACGTATTGAAAGAGAACTTGTAGCACCATAGAGACAGAGAACAAAATGTGTAGCTTAAGCTTTCACAGACCTGATTTACTTCCTCAGACGGTTTCCAAGCTCCATTTGTATTTAAAAAAAGGTTTGTTACACAACTGTCTAGGATTTGGAGCCCTTTAGTAAGAACATCCATTGTGAAAACATCTAAATCTGGATCCACTCCTTGAAGAATGCTCACTGACTACCATCTCCTACACATAGGCAAATTATCATTTAACCCCAAATAAAAGGGTATTGGCCAAAACAATATAAAATACTTAATTCTGATTTAGTGCATCATTAAAGCAGTTTCCTACTGTCTTTAGTAACAGTTATTTACTTCCGATGCACAACTGTTATAAAAAAGGCCTTAACAAAAGTACGACTGCTTATATATAAACACAGTAGAAATGAGAATATTCTGGGTGGAAGCCTTCTTAAGGAGCTAATAATGGCCCCTTAGCTTCCAAAAGTTGCATACCTCTGCTTTAAAACTCTACATGGGCATTAAGATTATTTAATCTTAAAATTGATCATTTCTCTCTCATTTCAATACCATTATTTTTGCTGAAATAATCATTTTTTGAAAATAAGTGTATCTTGGATTTCTTCTAGCTTCTAACATACTAATTTGAAGTGACACAGTCGTATATTTTAATCAAAATTACAAGCATACCTTCCTTTGCAGCCAACCGCCCTCTAGGGGTCATAGGGAGATTTTTTTTTTACTTGGGCTTTTACTTGGCCTTATTACTTCAGCCTTACACTTAAAGCAAACATAATTCACACCTGCAAACAAACTCGAAAGAAGTGACTTACCTTCTCAATAGATGATATGACAGGAAGTCCCTAATGCAGTGGTTCTCAGCCTGTGGGTCCCCAGGTGTTTTGGCCTACAACTCCCAGAAATCCCAGCCAGTTTACCAGCTGTTAGGATTTCTAGGAGTTGAAGGCCAAAACATCTGGGGACCCACAGGTTGAGAACCACTACTCTAGTAATATTTTACAACAACTACAACAAAAACTGAACTCAATTGTTTAGAAGCAGCAAGAGGGCAGGGAGAGGCAGAGAAATAAAGCATGTAAAACAACCTATGGGAACTTAAGTTATATTTCAACAATGAAATAAGGAATAAAAGACATCCTAAAATAAACAATTTATTGAGAAAAAGCCTTTAAATTTTATCAATCAGCCTTAGCTTAACAAATCTGAACCTGGCCAATAAAAAAACAAAACAAAAAAGGTAGAAGTTCACAGTCAGTGCACTCAACAAACAGGAGATAAAAACAAGATCCAGAATGTCTGAAAACACTAACCTTTTTTTCTTTTTTCTTTTTGAACTGAGAAAGTTCAAAAATACTACATATTAACATTACAAGTCTCTCAATCATATGAGAAAAGGTGGAGAAGGGACAGAAATACGGTCATGGTCCATTCTACAGTAGTAATGGCACTTTCACTGAAACATGCAGCTTCTTTAAAATTGTGGGCGCTGTCACGGAAGCAACGTGTGCCAAGGGAAACATACAAGAGCAGCAAAAGAAGTGACTGGATCACTTGTGCAGTCTTCAGTCAGGGTTAGTTTTTGAGTTTGTACACTGTTCAACAGTCTTTATGTAAATATTACATACGGTAGCGATTAAGAGAGATTTCACTACTAGAGTACTAGAGGCCACGTGTTGCATATACCTTCATTCTTCATCTGTGCACACCTGGAGTGGTTGAGAGAACCGGGAACAAGTTCAAGAGGAGCTCTAAAAGGCTATGCCACATTTTGGCAGGAGCAATGCTCATTTGCATTAAATGAACTTATGGCATCTTCTACTAAAAATGGCAACTCAAAAAGTAATTACTATCATGGTAAAATTAAACAATTCTATTTGTATTTCTTTCTAGTCCTTATACATGTGAAGATTAATTTATCTATGCATTCTTTCCTGTCTAAGAGGAAAATGAGAACAGATCCTTGTCTTGAAGGGTTTGCACATGTTTTATAAAGTAACTAGGTTGTTATAAATTAACATTATGAATTAGATAACACTGGGATATTATTATTACTATTACTATTATTATTAATTATTATTACCCCACTTTTTCTCTCCAAAAAGAGACTCAAAGCAACTTACAGTAAAAACAATACAATTTGAAGCCCCAAAAACATACACATATTACATTAATTACATTATCAAAAATAAACACTCTTCCAGGGAGGCAGTTCATATTCCATTCATTGCAAAGGAATAATCCACTCCTGGGGTGGAAGAAAATGACATTTTTTAAAATTATTGAATTGTCTTAGCCTTTCATGCCTCCTGGTCACTTAATTCAGTCAGGCATAAACCCATTTGGTAACATTTTAAGGAAGAAGGGAAGACCATAGAGCTGGTATTATTAAGGGAACTTTTGGTATGGAGAACGGAAATGCTTCTGGCTTCTTATATCCTTCTTCCTACCCTGTTACCTCTCAGTGACTCCTGCCTGCATCTGTGTGCGGACACACAAGAGACAGATGTTTACAGTAATTCCAGTAAACTGAGAGGAATTCTTCTGAAAGCTGCTTTAGACCAGAGATGTTAAACTCATTTTCACTGAGGGCTCCATCAGCCTAAGGACTGCCTTCAAAGGGCCATTGAAATCCATAGATGGAGAATCTGTGCATGCAGAGGGCCAACTATTTTTTTTTTTACATAGTGGTCGGTGCTCTTTAGTTTTCATCCAATTTGGGTCCCAAATGTTATTGAACAACAACTCCCATCACTTTTGATTATTATCTGCCATTCAGACTGAGAATGGGAATTGCAACTTAACAGCACTTGTGTCTCTTAGGTTGGGGAATGGTTCATGGATATATTAAAGCCAGACATCATCTCCTCAAGCCTTGTATCTAAATTCAAGCCCCACTATCCTGACTAAACAGAACTAACTGCAGCCATCCAGATGTTACTGTATCACATCTCCAATCGGCACTAGTCATGTCTAATGAGGAATAAAGGAATTGCAGTCCAACATCTGGAGGGCCACGTAAAATGACACGGTGGGATAGATTTGGTCCATTCAGTTTGATACATGTGCTTTAGACCAAGATGAAATAAAATTTGGTACTGCTCAGGACTGCAGCCTCTTTATTCCACCCCCCGCCCCAAGTTTCCTAGTTTTGAATGTTCCCTGCCCAGTGAGCCAGCATTCATCTTTGGACAGTTTTAGGTCAAGAGGCGAGTGCCTTTCTCCTATAGACATTTTATATTTCTTCCAACTTTGGGGTCCATATGAATACTTCCCAGAGTGGCACCACTCTACAAGCAATGACATTTCAAGCATAAGGGAAGAAATGATGAGCACTATCACTTCGAACACTATCCAACTGGTCTTCAGAAGATAACTAATTTCCTCTTACAAACCCCCACTGAAGTCCCATCCACAGTTGCTACCACACAACAGGCTAGGCCAAACATTGCAAATAAGGGAGCAAGTGTGACAGAACTGCCTGCTACTCTTTAAAACACCTTGGACAGGATTTTACTACAAATTTGCCAGAATAAGGAGGGAGACTGGATTAATACAAATTCCATCGCACAGCAACATACCAGGGCCACCACAAGCTTCATTACCAGTTTTAGTTACTGCCAAAGGCTAATGATCTGTCTGTATGGGACTGTCTCCCAAATTGCCTGTGCTTTTTCAGAAATAGATTGTTTTGCTGTCCTTGAAACAAGATGAGGGTCCAGCTTGTGCAGGCCAGAACTGAAATTCAAAGCTTTTTTGAATGCAGGCATATTTGCTTTTGTTCAATCCAAGCCCCGGGCAAATGTGTTTGGGCTGTGAGCCTGATCATCATAAGAAAGATCAAGAAGAAAACAAACTTAACCAACCTTGACAAATGGATGATCGAGGAGCTGGCTAGCAGTCCATCTCATCTTTGGATCACTTTCCAGGCAATGAGAAAGAAAGTCCTTCCCTTCTGGACTTATCCTTTCAGGTATGGGAGGTTTATGCCCCATCCCTACTCTATACATGATCTGGAAGTTGTGCTCAAATTCATGCCAGGGCCTCTGCAACAAAGGGAAAGCATCAGTGTTTAAAACTCTTCTTCGAAATGGGCTGATTAACATACAATTAGAAGGATGCTCTAGTACTGCAGTTCTCCTCAGATAGCATTAAACCTAAGGAGGAAATTTGACTTCGGATATTCATAGGTAAGTGTGCAGACTGTTATAGAACATTGTGATCAATATCTAAATGCACAACTTTGTCACTATAATTAAACAAATATATTAAGAGCCAATGTGCATATACAGAAGGATTAAATAAACCATTCCTACAACTTGAACTAAACATTTACATGGCATCAATAACTCTTTTGTATGAAGATTACATACACACACATGTAAGTGTAGGATGATAAAAATTATCCATGATGATGAGTAAAACAGGAAAGAAATGTCTAAAGCAAACACCAGTAATTCTGAAATGAAATAACCATTCTCAATGGGATGGAGATATATATATATATCTACTTTATAGTAATTGTTCTCCACATCTGGATCTTGCTTTGGACTTCAACTCTCAGAATTCCTACTTAGTGGTAAAAATGTTTGGCAGTTGAAGTCCCAAACATCTAGACTATAGGCTGAATTAGAGGCTGGGAAGTCTATAAAACTAATATGTTAGTAAGTTGACATTACATGGAAGTTACATACTATTATGTAATAATACATGTCCCCAACAAACTATATAACAGAAATGTGTTTTGCTTCCATACAGCAAATATCACATACTTAAAAACAAGAAACATGGCATTTTCAAATATTCTTGGCTTGGGTTCTGGCAGCACACAGAACATTCTGCTCTCCGCCACAAATTTCTCTAAATTCAAAATTGCATTGATTTGGAAACATGGTAACAATTTTTCTCATGTGCAACAGAAAAAAGGAGAAGCAGCACCACAAGTTGTAGGGATAGCTAACACTCTTAAGTAAAATCTAATATGGCTTACTTGATAAAAGTACAAAAGATACTTGATGTATCTCTTGAAGAAGTGAGAGGAATGATAGCTAAATATTTCTGCTTCCATTCGTACAAATAATGAACATGCTTTTCTTGTAAAAGGATGAATCATGGTGAAGAATAATACCATGAAGCCATCATGACTGTGTATTATGCCCAATTTCAATATGGGATTATTTTAAACTGTATACAAGTTCTTAGGTCTGCACGTTTCATTCCTATATCACCTGTTTTCTCCCCCCTAGTCAAGCATGTTGACATAACCAAGGAAGTGCTCATTAACCATGAGTTGCTGTAACATCCAACTATGGGCATGACAAACAAGAAAAACTACCATTAGCAGATTCAGAACAAGCAGGGATCGCAGATATTGGTTTACCATCCTAATCTATTTAAGCTTGACAAGTACAGTTTCCAAATTCAGATATATCAGGAAATTATAGTTAGTTGAAGATTTTCTGACTTGAATTGGTGTACCAAAAAGAAATGCAGAGCAGGGCACTCATAGATTCTGCATCCACGCATTCGACAATCCACAACATGAAAATATTTTTTTAAATGCCAAAAAGCAAGCTTTGATTTTGCCATTTTACATAAGGGACATAATTTTATCAGGCCATTGTATATAACGGGACTTGAGCATCCATGGATTTTGGAATGCATTAATGGTTCTGGACCAAACCCAAGCAGACACCAAGGGCCCACTGTATATATGAAATGCTCTTTTGTGGCATTTCATATATGAATGAGAGTGGACTGGACAAATAATTGAAGAGCGTTATGGGCATGTGTCCCATTTTCTCATCCATGAGTTATAACAATGCAACAAAAGTTGAAAAAAATCCTATCCGAAGAAATCCTACACTTGAAAGTGTTTCCCTGAGTTTGGAACAAAGTTAAAATGTGAATGTATCCCCAATTCTTCAGGGCTCAATCAACTTAAAAAAATGGACTAAAGAAATAAAGACTGTGGATTTATTGTACTTAAATAAAGCTTCTTTAAACTGTATCTTAGTTATTTTGCTGGCTATGTCCTGTTCCAGATCTTTTGATGTAGGGAACAAGAGAAATATCCTAACCAAGAAAGTATCAAGGCATTTTAACCTATCATACAACTAGTATCTAAGATTTGCTTAGTCTCATACAACATGCTTACCTTCCCTGTGACCATTTCAATCACAACACAGCCTAGACTCCAGATGTCAGCCGCACGCCCATGACCTTCTCCTTTAGCTCTAGTTATCACTTCAGGAGCCATGTATGCTTTGAAACAACATACATGATCACATCAGTTTATGCAACAAAAGGAACAGGAGATGTCTAAACAAAAAAGTCATCTGAGAAACGAAAGCATGGTCAACAGAAAGCTATGTATTACTAGTCAGCACAATTTGCCTCCTGGATGCAACAAGTAAGTCATTATTACTTTGAAAACTTGTTCAAAAGTTTGGATTTTCTCCCTCTCCCTTCAAATCTCCCTTTGTGGAAAAGCGAAGGAAAAAATGACTGAAGTTGCACTTCCATATGGAAATGTCTATGTCTAATTTCTCAAGACTGCCAACAGAAGGCATAAATACGTAATTTTGCCTCAGAAATCCAAACCACTTTGGGGCACACAACCCATGGGTTCTGAGAGGAAAAAAGGAATACAAGAACCATGCTATGCATTTCAAAATGTACACAGCAAAAATGTGTACATTCTTAAAATGGGCAGAAATGCCTTTGCCAATACTGGGCACGAAAATGCATACATTACAGAAATACATGCAACATTGCACATTTTGGGGGGGGAGGGGGACACCACAAAATATGCACAAATTTCCATGAAAAGTGAATCTTGCTGCCCAGTGTGGAAATGGAAACAGAATGAATATACTAATGGGAAACTGATAAACCAATTGTGAATGAGATTGTCGCATTTTCATACCCCTACTTCAAAACACATGATATAATTTTGTGCATGCAGAAGAATAGGCCATGGAAGTAGTACGTTCAATTTCCCTTGATCATTTTGAAAGTTATAATTGAAGTAAAAAAAAATGTCCATCATGGACAATCTAAAGCAACTCTAACATCAAAGTTAATTTTATGATTTATTTTTGTGGTGTTTGTTTCCAAAAGGCACCAAATAATAATAAAAAAATGAAATGAAAAAATGGGAAAAAATGAAAAATTACTTATAGGTTGCAGCACATTGTTTGTTAACAGTATAATATTACATATACATCAAAACTATCAACATATATCGAATCACTTTGGAATATTGCATTTTATAGCAAAAGAATACACATCCTTAGCTCACTTTTTCAATCTCTGTGAAATCTGTTCAGATAGATTTGATACCATTTGGAAACAAGCTCCACATTTATGGATAGTAATAGCTACACGGAGTCATGAAGAATTTGTCCAAGTTCTGGGGAAAGTGCTTTGAATATTTTTCTCCACACTTTCATCTTCCATCCAGTCTAAATCCATACAGGACTCCTACATGGATATCAAGTATATGCAAGCAGATCCACTCACATCAGAGTGACTGATCCAAACACACAATGTCACATGTGTCTGTTGAAGCAAAAGAGGAAACCTACTCTAGGCAAAACTGGTAAAACCATGTGTGCAGGTATGAGTCCCTCTTTTCTAAAGTAAAATAATGTGCTGTGACAAAGGCTGATACAGCCAGCACAATATTTGTACTGGGACTAAAACTTTTAAAGATCAGAATTTGAATGCAAATGAAGATATGGAAACCCTCTGGGTAAAACTTGGGCATATCCCACTTTCTCAGCCTCAGAGCAAGGCAATGGCAAACCTCTTCTTTGAACAAATCTAGGCAAAAAAACCCTGTTATAAATCTGGAACAATTCAGATAGAACAACACCACAAAGCTCTACACTGGACTGCACATTATTTAGCACTATCCACAAGTGAGGGCTTGGGGAAGGATTGTTAGGGTGAGAGTTTGTATGCTTGCTCTTACCTGCAGTCCCAAGTGTACTGTTCACTTCACCAGGCATTGTCTGTGTATTATTTTTTAATTTTACTGAACAGCCAAAATCCCCCAGCTTTATCAATCCTGATGACGTGAGAAAGATATTTGCTCCTGGAGGAGGAGGACAAAAGAGTGATTTTCCAGACAAGATTTCAAACCAAAGAATATAGATTACTACAGTTAATAAAATGAGAAGTGATTTGAGATATTAATGCTGTGCTCCTGCTGCGAGCTGCAATCCTCTTTCTTCTTCACAGGTTTAAAAACATTTAATTATCAGAAATGGGGAAGAAACTCAGCCAGAACAAAACCTTCATAGCATAGCAGGAAAAACTGAACATATCCTTCTATTCTCTCTCCCAAAATATTAGTGACTAGCCACAAAGGAAGACAGAACAAGTGGGAATACATAAGCAAGCACGAGAGGCACTCAAGACAGGAATATCTAACTCATTGGGCTAGATTTTTTTTTGTACTAGCCTATAAAGATACGAAATAATTTTCATTCCACCTTTATTTCATAACCAGCCATGTTCATGAAACAGCTCAAAAGGCGACCTGGATTCGAAATGATGACGTCTCAATAATTAAGTAAAGCCCTGTCAAATTGAACAGATTTCTGCTGTTTCTCTTCCATTTTTGTTTCTGATCTCCTAAAACCTAAATTATTTATAAACTTCTTTTCTAACAAAACATTTGCAGAAATAAAAATTGCTGTTATTATGAAGTCTGTATTGGGTGTTTTCTATTGCTAAGCATTATCCTTTTTCAGTAAATGAAGGATAATAAATCACTGGCCCAAGGCTAAAGTTGCCAATGGGATTTGCTGGGAGGGTTCAGAATTACAAACTTCCATCTTACAAATGGCTCATAGATAAAAACAGGGGTTGAGACAACAGGAAGTGAGAAAAATCTACACATCGGAAGGGAAATTCACTCCTGAAAGAGTTTTCATGTGGAAAAGGTGTTTCCACTGAAGCTTCATCACCAATCCTTGTTTCCTCAACAAACCAAATTTTCAAAAATCAATTAGCAGAGAAAGAAAATGAGGCGACATATTCTAAACAGGGGCACAAAAAGAAAAACAAACACCACAGGTGTGTTAACCCTTCCCTATACTATACAAAGTATGTATGTATGTATGTATGTGTATACACACACACACACACACACACACACGTGTGTGTGTAAAGTTATACTTTTAAAATGTGCCTGTTCTGATTTACAAACAAATTCAACTTAAGACCAAACCTACAGAACCTATCTTGTTTGTAACTTGGGGGCTGCCTGTATGTTGTACTGTTGCACATTAGGAATTATTGAAAAGCATCAAAATTTACAAGCTTTGAATACATTTTCATCAATCAACAATGATTAAAAAAGAAAAGAAAGCAAAAAGTTATGGAACCTACTATTTGTCCTAAGATGATGTAGAGAAAGGGTTTTAAATTACCAAGGTAAGCCACACTCCAAATTAGATGCTATCTAAATGGAGAAGCGAATTTTTCGGTTTTACATTTGCTCCACTTGTCCCTAGTCATTACACTTTGTCCTGCTAGGCAAATCTGCTTATTAATCCAGATTTCTAATGAATTTGAGAATCATGTTTTACCTTTGATGTCTCGGTGCACTATGCCGTGTTCATGCAGCACATTGATGGCAGTTGTAATTTGCTTTGTGTAGAGTCTAATGACGTGTTCCTGGAGGCCCAGCCTTGACACTTCTTCCAGAGTTCCTTCATCACAGTATTCCATGAAGATATACATTTCTTCCTGGAGATGAGGAGAGAACTGGGTTACTAGCCTTGCTGCATGTACAGCGTGGAGAATACATTTATTTCAATGAGGTATGCTCCAATAACCTGTAAAACTCTAAATACCATATTACTCAAGCATAATGCATCACTGATTGGAATGCACATCTCAATATTAAAGGCGTGCATGCAAAGTATGTGTGTGTGTCTCTTTCATTGCACATCTACTTCAACAGCAAATATAAGTCAAAAATTAAACAGCTGTCAGTCACTTTCAGAAACCATGCAGTGACATCTTAGATGATGAAATTCAATATAACATTAAAAGGGGTTAAAGGGTAAAATCTATTTAGATGTAAGTAACAATAACCAGAGCTTTGCTTACCCTATGGAGCTCTACACCAAAGTACCGAACCAAGTTAGGGTGCTTAATGCCTTCAAATATTTTCAGCTCATCTGCAGTTTCTTTGATTGTTTTATGATCATTTGGTTGAAATCTTATCTGAAAAATATAGTTTTTCGTAAATATTACTATTTAATACTGCACAAAAATGAGATACAAAACCAATAAGTGACCTGTAAACCTCTTCAGATACTTACAGCAGAAGATGCCATACTGATGCCCACTACTGAAAGTGCGGCAATTTTACCATTTTTTTCCTCTTCTCACATCATTGTAGACCCAGGAAAGGTCTTTTTCGTAATAGGAAGTAATATAGTAATACACTTTCAGTTTGTTACCACCCCTGAGTCTAAGAATAATCCATATAAAAGCAGCAGACACCTTCTAAAAGCACTACATTGTCATTTATCATCACAATACTTACTTCTTTCATGGCCATCAATTCACCAGTGTCAACACTGATACAGGTATAGACTTTTCCATACTGGCCTTCTCCTGGAAAATTAAAAGAATGATGACAAAACTAAGTAGACAGAAAATAATATCCCAAAAGTCTGAAAGTAAACCAACAGAACAGTTGGTGAAGAATCTATATAAAATATGTGCAGACGACCAATTCCAAAAAAAATAACTCTTAAGTTTAAAGACATTTATTGAAACTGAAGTCTTCAGCTAGTGGACTTTAAGTCACCAATCCTTCTACACACAGAAAGCCCTTTGGACAAAGTCCTTCATGAACACATCACAGGAAAACCAAACAAATGGCATACAAATGTATCTAAAAGGCCTGACAAATTCACTCAATAGCTTTACAACTAAGTAGTTATAGATTATGCAGAACTGGAAGTGGGATATGCTTTTGCACCTGTTCCTCTACACCAGTGGTTCTCAACCTGTGGGCCCCCAGATGTTTTGGCCTTCAACTTCCAGAAATCCTAACAGCTGGTAAACTGGCTGGGATTTCTGGGACTTGTAGGCCAAAACACCTGGAGACCCACAGATTGAGATCCACTGTTCTACACCAACATGATCTTCTATAAGGAGAAACATATGTAAATACTTCACTGCTCACAACAGCATGCTATGTAAAATTTTATTTATAAGCTTAATTAAATTATATTTAAAGTTAACATTAACTTAATTATACATTTACATACTGGAGGTAGGGAATGTAATTAATGCACAACTTATGTGTCCAACAAAACAATGTTAAATCTCCTTGTGTTGTAGAACAAATTTCAATTATAATTACCCACATTAATAGAACAATAGTCTCTAAATATGAGAGCCTACATATGAAACTTGAACTCCATGTAGTCTTGTCTTATGAATCATAGATATGAATCATATACCATCATATATTCAAATGCAGATCTTTTCTATACATACTGCATTGCTTCCCCATCGTCACATATACTTTGCCATAACTAGATATGTGTGTGCACCATGCTTTTATTTCATAAGGATCAGACGTTTCCTACTTTTGAAATTTCAGAGGCAGCTTGACATAAACTTACCAATTTTGTTTCCTCTCTGCCACTTAAAAGTCACCTTTCTCAAACCTACATGCATTACGTTGTCATAAGATTTTGGAGTGTCACAAACTTGGCCAATAATATTTTTCCGCCTCATTTCTCGGTATCTCTTCTCTTCAAAGAGCTGAACAGATTTCTGAACTGCTTCCATGGGTCCCTGCCTGGACGCAGTATCTAGAAAAAAAGAGCAAAATCATACACTAATGCCATTACTGAAACACTAACTACATATGAACTCTAGTCTTACTTATGTGCTATTAAAATTAGATATAATGACATTAAGGTTGCTTTAGAGGGCTTGCCTGTGTAATGAGCTTATTTGCCAAACTTAAGCTGATAGATTTAAGTTTTTATTAAAAGAGAAAAAGAGAAAATGTTTTTGTATAATCCCTTCTCATCCCTTACCTCCCAACCCACTTATAAAGAAGTGCGAGAAATTCAAAAGAAACAAAGAGATCAAAGCACTCTTGTCAGTAGCAAATAGGGAGGATGGTGACATTAAACATTCACTCTCTGTAGCAGATCCCTAGAGCAGATGGAGGGGGGATATTTATTTATTTATGTCCCAAAGGGGACTCAGAGTGGCTTACAAGATATATATACATAAAATATATTATATTATTAGCATAGTACAATATCAGTACTAAATATTACTATATTGTACTATGCCATTATATTGTAATATTATTAGTAATATTACATATATTATAAATATATTATTGTATTGTCATATCTTATTATTATTACTATTATATTGCATTACAATGTAATATAAATATTATATGTATATACAATATAATACAATATAATATAATATAATATTGTATAATATATTATATTGTATATTACATTACATTACATTACATTACATTACATTACATTACATTATATTATATTATATTATATTATTAGCATAGCACAGTGGTCTATAAGAGAAGAAGGGAACTGATGAAACGCATTTCCATTTTTCCAGCACAATTGATCCACTAGATTGGATGTCTCGGGCAAATCTAAGGAATCCATCTGTCCTCCAGTGAAAGATTCTGACTTCAACCCACACTTCAATGGAAACTTGAACTACTGACAATTCAGCCTCTGTTACGAGTATATGGTTGCAACACATGAAGGGATAATAAACACCAAACAAATGAAGGGGTGACTAGATGATATGAAAACATGAACTATAGTCCATAAAGGTTTATACCAAAATAAACTGATTCATCTCCTGCTTTCCCTATTTTCATACGGAAACAGATTGATGAAGCTATCTATTCAACAAACAGTTATGAGCTAAAGATTGGGGTTTTTTTCCAGCTGGACTTTCAAAAATATGTATCTGGAGTGGTACAAAGCTCTACTACCAACTATTCTACCTCAGGTATCATCAAGTGAAACATCTTTTTGATAAACACACTAAGTAATATGCAAGGGGTCTCGTAGTAGGTTTAATTTACGATTACTGATACGATGATTGGAATACATTATTTGATTAAACAAACATAATGAGAAAGGTATATCATATTTATGTGATCCTAATGTGCACCATTTTTTGGCTAAATGGCCTTGCCAAAATTTGGGCATACATTAGATTTGCATAATACAGAAACGGGCCTCCTTGCTTGCCGCAATCTGTGGCCTTCTTGGCTTGCCAGGACCACCCCTCACCTGGGCCAGCTCACTCATGAGCAAGTCGCCACAGTCCTCGAAAAAGAAGAGGAGGAGGAAGAGGAGGCAGTGGCAGCGGCGGCAGCGAAGGTGCCTTCCTTCACCCTGGCTTGCCTGGGCCTTCCCCTCAGCAGAGCGCTTCATTATTTCTCTCTCCTTTTCATCCTTCATTGTCTCTTTATCCCCTTCTTTCTTGTACTTTCCTTCCTTTCTCTTTCCCTCTCTCTGCCTTTTCTTTCAAGGCTCCTTGAGGGAAGGGTCATCTGATTACATGGTGTCACTCTCCATTGCTGGAAGATTTGGTGATCTAATACTTTTTATTTTTAAAGGGCACAGCAACACCACCTTTTTGGAACAACTTACAAAGAGGACATTTTGCCACTGTGCATTCCATTCACCAGCAAGTCCTTTTTCTTTTTGGTTTCAGGATCTTGAAAATTAAGGTGTGCATTAAATTCAATAGTGCTCTAGATTTGAGTAAATACGGGTAGTATACTGACAGTATACAAGAAAAGCAGTTGCCCACTGAAGTTTATGTTATCTTGTGTTTTCTACAAAGAACTAACAAGACTACTGCTGGGATCTTCAAATTCCCACAGCCTATTAACGATTTACAATTAAACTGAACTTATTGGGTGGGGATTATTTTAGAAAAGGTTAGAATTTTCTACCAACTTAACATAATAGCTAAAATCCATCCAGAACTGCTGTTTCAGCTGTTTTAATGCTCCATGACCATGTAGTTACTGGTAGAGAGCAGGCACATAGGAAAAGAATTTGGCTATGTTCCTGTAGTCAAATACAGAGCAATGGCATCAATCACTGACCCCTCCCAGTATTATCTTTACCTTTGGTCTGACTGATGAGAGTTCGAAGTTCCCAACTTCTTCGGGCAGATCCGCTTGAATCCCCTTTTGGATAAGATGGTTCTTTGAAAAAAAAAATGAAAAATAGGTAGCACCCAAGAAGACTTGTGAAGTGAAATTTCACCCACTGTTCAAGTGAGCCTAATGGCTCCATTTTTGATTTAGGCATGAAAATACTAGTCAGAGAAAGGTAAGCAGAAGACTAGTCTAGAATTATTGGTAGATATCTGGATGATCTGTAATATTTTGCAATGATTTCTGACTCACAATTGCTTAGCAATACCATTAAGAAAATGCATGGATGCATACATACTATTATGTTCTGCTGATATTAAGAAACTTTAAGGTATGGTAACTTGGAATTAATACATTAAATTTCAAATGGAAGGGCTGTGAGTCCCGTTTGGTCCTGGTATTCAAAACACACAGACATTTTCTTTTGCACTAGGATTCAGTGGCTAGATCTCAAAGTCCTAGTCTTCAAAAAACAAAAACAAAAGAACACTGCCCATTCCAACTTGGGAAATGAAGATCTTACTGGGGCTTACAATAGGAGATGCTAGTCACACTTATGGATCTAGTATGTCCTAAAGAATTTACAATCTGTATTCTTACCATGAGCATGGAAATGAGCAAGACCCATTTTGCTGAGTCTTGGATATTACTTTTTTAACTGCCAGAGTTCTCAGTTATCTGATAAACTGTTGACCAGGTTTAACAATCCTCTTAACATTTATATTGCTAGATCATTTTAGGAATATTTTTTCAACTGCAAATTTTGAAGTTCACATTTAAAATTGGTGCATAAGTAATGCAAACAAATGAACCAAATTACAAAAGCAGGTCCAGTGGAGGGAAAGACATCATAAGAGAATTTAAAAAAAATCTTAAATGGTCAAATGCTTATATCAGACTGAGTAAGCCAAATTACATGTCTGACAAAATACTACTTTAAAGCAAATCAATAAAGTACATTTCAGAGGGAAATACCTATCTGCTACATCACAGATTTAAGAGCAACCCACTCACCTTCTCGTTCTTCAGTGGGACTTGAGTGGCGGCTTAATGACCTAAACTGTAGTTCAGCAGCAATTGAAGCTAGTCGGTCATTTTCTGGAACACTGGAACCTCTGTTTAGAGAGAACACACACAACTGCTCCATCATTTAGGACTCTGATTCTTCCCCTTTCTAGTAATGAAAGCTTAAATAAGATAAATATTGACATGGCAAATGAGGAAAACAATCTGAATATTTATAATCTAATTCTTACAGTCTTGGATATATAAAAAGGAATCTTCAAATAATATCTTACCTCAGTCCTTCATTTTTAAATAAACTACTATTGAGATTGAATACAAAGGAACAGTACGTTGTATTGACCTGGAGGGAAGGGATGGCCCAAATGCTTTTGATTAACCACCCTTCAACTTTTTGAAATGACACTATATCTCACATCAGAACCAGACACATAGAGTATAATGGGAAGGAAGATAAGATAACACACACTTTTGTCAATTGTGTGGGGATGTACTGAATGAAAGAGAAAGAAAAATCTTATAGAATGCCGCACTGTTACAGCTACTTTTTAAAAATCTGGAGAAGCAATTGGAAGAGAACGTCACCAATTCTATGGATACAATAGCTTTTCTTTTGAGCTGCTTTCTAGTTACCTGAAGTAAGAAGGACTTAAAGTCATCAAAACAGAGTTAGGAAGAGACCGCAAGGGTCATCCAGTCCAACCCTCTGCCATGCGGAAGCACACAATCAAAGCATCCCTGGCAGATGACCACCCAACCTCTACTTTAAAACCTCCAGAGAAGGAGACTCCACTGAACTTCAAGGCAGCAGATTCCACTGCCTAACAGGTGTTATCATAAACTTGAAAGAAGAAACCTATCATGAAACCTATCAGTGCACTACACAGCACTACAAACCTATATCTCACATTAGATTTCTCCCTTGCTAAATTTTCTGAAAAAAATGTTTAAACATTACTACATATAAGTATATTTTACAAATAAATGTTTAACTAGTGTATTATTCTCAATTCAAAGTCAATCACAACTAGTAACTGTAAAGCTGCGTAAGTACTAAGGAAGAAATGCATGCATTAATGATGCTAAAATGAAACAAACAATTAAAAACATGCATAGACCAAATGTTGTTTTTTTAAAAAAATACCATTAGTCGAAAATATAATACATGCATTCCACTTCACAGATTGGAACAGTAATGAGAAGGTTACATGGAAAACACAACGGAACCAAAAGGAACTAGTAGGATCTAAGTGCAAGCAATTCTGGATGGCTGACGTAAACAGGAATGGTTCCGCTACATTGTGGAGTGGAGCTACCTGATATCATTTGTACAGCTGACAGGTTTTGGCTGAGCAGAGTCACCTCCGAAGGGGACGGGGCGACTAAGAGCAGGGTTGCAATGGTTCCGTACATCACATGGGACATTCCTTGTGCTGCAGTGAGAAGAAAACCTTGAGAAAAAGGGGGCTGGGTCGATTCTGAAATGGGGTTTTAAAACAGGGAGACTCAAAAACATCAATCTAAAAAATGTGTTGTTGTTTTTTTAAAAAAAAAATAGAGAGAGAAGTGTTTTGAGCTCTGAAAATAATTTTTAGTAGTCCAGGACTTTAGACTACTCTCAAACTATGCTCACAACTGAGAACTTAGATGGTTCACAACAAGTATAAATGCATAAATGTGAAATACTGGAAATGGGGAAAATAAGTAAGAACATAAAGTATGAGTGCCTCACAAGGGAACTGGAAGGGGTGGGGGGGGGGGAGAATATTTTTATGTGTGAAGCAACACTGTCTAAGGACCTTAGCATGATATATCTCTCATTTCTAAGAAAGAGATATCATGGGCCCTTGGAATCTGCTGATGTTTTGTTTCAGGACCACCGTGGAAACCCAAATCTGTGGATGTTCAAGTTCCATTCTATACAATGGCCTAGAAAAAGGGGAACCCTTATATAAAATGGAAAAATCAAGTTTTGCTTTAGGATTTATTTATTTATTTTTACTATTTTCAAACTGCAGACAGTTGAATTGGTCGAATCTGTGGATACACAATCCATGTATGTTACTGTATTCAGCTAATTTCCACAGTCTTCATCTGAGATGGAAAGAAGACAGTCCTTAAGATTGGAAATGCTAGGAGTTGGAGATTTATAACATCTAGAAAATAATAGTTTCTCCATCTTAATACAAATCAGCAATGTAACAGATAACTATATGCATACACACACACACTTATCAAAGACCAGGAGAGAGAGAAGTGCTTAAGAAGTATGCCAATTCTCCGAGTTTGTTGACAATAAAGAAAGCTGATTTTTACTAACAGGCTTATTTTAATGCCAGTATATGACTAGACTCTTTTGCCCACTATATTGTTCTAATTCATACATTTAAGAAAAGCATGCCTGTTTGAAGGAAAGTATGCAGCCTTTGAAGTTGAAGGAAAACAGGAAGCACCATCACAGAGATAGTGAATCCCCATTCACCCAAAAATATCCCAGAAATGCAGGGCAGCACTGAAGTAGTCATGGGAATTGGGGGGAGGGGGGAGGTAGCTGCATCACTTTTGTATTGTCAAAGGCTTTCATGGCCGGAATCACTGGGTTGTTATAGGTTTTTTCGGGCTATATGGCCATGTTCCAGAGGCATTCTCTCCTGATGTTTCGCCTGCATCTATGGCAAGCATCCTCAGAGGTTGTAAAGTCCTTTTGTTCCTTTTCATAATTTAAGAAGGTAAAGAATGAGCCTAAACTCCAGGATGGCACTGGCAGACTGGAGAGTCAAAAATCACGAGCAAAAGCATTAAAATAATGTATAGTAATAGAAAAAAGAAGGTAAAATAAACATTTATCAAATGGTTCAAGCACAGGAAGAGGGAAAATGATGTTGCTCATCATTACATAATGTCACAAGGATCATCCAATTACAGACAGTCACCTGTCATTCAGCACTCAAGACAACAAGATGTTACTAGGGTGCAGACAGGCATAACACTGTAGTACTGAATACTGAGAAAATTGATCTCCTTTAGTGACAGACAGCTAGATTCAGATTATAGTTGCTTGAAATGCTTCAGAAGTATTGATTGCTTCTCCAAACCAGGGAAATGCAACCTTCTACTCAATCATCCTCTCACCCGATCATGCTTTTCCTGCTGCTGAAAAAGAAACATCAAACCTTTTTGTGATTGTGGGATGCATACATGTCTGTTCCAGGCCATAGGCAAAAACATTATGCATAAGTTCTTAATACCTGAATGCTTCAGGCGTTGGGATGATGAGGTGAGGATTTGGAGGATCACTATGACATCGAGGTACTTTCACAGGTCGGGGACTATTCCGATGAAGAGCTACAAACAAAAGAAACAGATGGTGAGCTTTCAGATGGCTTAAGAGAACACCCAATGCATGCATGTCATATTAACATGGCCACACTGTTACTGAGATCAAGTTTATGTAATTTACATGAAATGGGAGGAGCAAAACTGAAATTATCACAATTTTTTATATCTTCATTAAATCAAAGGTGGATTGCTGAATCACATTCTATACGGGTTTACCTTTGATGAATGTCCAGAACTGCAAAAATGCAGCTTGTGGGAAGAATACTTACAACACGTTATTATTATTCTACCATATTTACTGATTTCCAGTTCCCTTTGTACATTAAATCAAATTTAATGGTCAGTACTTTAGAAGCCCTAAATGCCTTAGTTTTAGAATACCATATCCTATTAAATGGATCTGCATTTCTTTGGACTCATCTATAGAGGCCCCGTTGTATATCCTACTCTTTTCAAAGGCCTGTTTGTTGTTCATTTGTTCAGCTGCTTCTGGCTCTTTATGACCTAATGGACCAGCCCAAGTCAGAGCTCCCTGTCGGCCGTGGCCACCCCCAGTTCCTTCAAAGTCAAGCTAGTCACTTGCCCTTGATTAGCCCCTCTTCCATTTTCCCCAGCATCATTATCTTCTCAAAGCTTTCCCGTCTTCTCATTATGTGGCCAAAGTACTTCATCTTTGCCTCTAATATCCTTCCCTCCAGTGAGCAGTCAGGCATTATTTCCTGGAGTATGGAACAGTTTGATCTTCTAGTGGTTTCAAAGGCCTAGCTGGCACAAATATGCACATGGATGTTTTGGTTGCTTCACAAGGCTTGTGAATCCCATACCCAGGGAACCTGAAAATCTTGCAATTCCAGCAAACTTTGGATCTGTTAGATACTTGAGCCTTCTCTTTGTTATTCCATCTGTTTCTTTGCTTAGGAAACAGATGGAATAGCAAATGTAATTTCTTTTCTTGTACACATTGTGTTACACTTTTTTTAGTTACTTTTGAATTGTTATGATCATATTATCATATTGTAACCATTATGATTGTGTAGTAATAAGACAGGTGCCAGCAAATAACTGGTTAAAGGTTAAAATAGTTTAATTTTGAAATATAATGAATTACTCATAGTTAAAATGTTTAGAGTTCTATAATCTATAGCTTTAAAGTTCCAGAAGAAGAGATTGTAGCTGCTGTCTTACCAAGGTACAAACCTGTTACAGGACTGTGAGGCTTTCCAATGACATGGCCAATACATTCATTCATCAGTGCCTGTAAGCTCTAGAAAACAAGGAACAAGTACCATTGGGATAATTAAACAATTACATTCTTTCATATCTTATCTACTACATTTTTTCTAACTGTATAGTTAGGCAGAAATAATTCATCATGGAGGATGAATGTGGTGAACCAGCAAAGCTCAAGCTTCCTTCATCAGCGCCATTGATCCCATCTTAAATGCAGCCTATAATGCTTTTAAACATGAAATGTAAGAATGACTGACATACCAAGAAGTCATCTTCTGGCAGAGCGGAAATAAAGGCTGGCTCAATGGCTTGAAGAAAATCAAAACCTTGTGTTGCCCACCTGTTGAGCAGACAAACATTATTCTTTAATCAAAAGTTATTTTTAATACTTATATAAGTCATTCTGTTTACTGAGAGAAGCAATCTGTGTTGCTATGTTACACAAACACTTGCCTTTCTAAACACACAAGCGTAAACCAAAAGCTACTCACAGGTCTGCCCTCTGAAACCATATTTTTATGAATATTCACAAGATTATACTATCCTAACACTCCTAAATAGAGGGGATTCTTAAAATCAGAGGATGAGAAGAGTCACTATCCCCCAGTCAAACCACCTCATAAGGTTGTGTTCTTTTGAGAGATTGAACAATATAACCGAATTAGAACAATACAACACATAAAAATGGTGAGAGATGGGGTGCTGGATGTTGACAAGGAAAATTTGGGCTCAATTTAGTTAATTGGCTGGATTTAGTGAAATCAACAGTGTCCGTTAATTAAACACTTACCAAGGACATTCATTACTTTAAATGCACATGCACAAAAAGTGCACTATATGGCAAGATGCCTATGTACAGTAGTTGCTTTCCAGAGGTCAAAACACAAATGGTGATGTAACGAAAGATTCTATTTTAGATTAAGTTCTGTTAATCAGAGCATACCTGAGGTGGACATTCAGCCAAGCTCAAATGTACCCATATGTTTAGGGGAAATGCTGCAAATGATTATAGGCACTGATTAATTAGCATTTTTTTTAAAAAAATCTGCATATATCAAATTCATATAATCTTCAGTTTCTCGCAATAAATATCCCTTCAAGTCAGGTAATATGGGATTTCACCCTATTTGAGAAACAGAGTCCATAGCTCTGCACCTTAGATTTTTTTGGTCCTTCTTCTGTCAATAACTTGTTTCCTACCAACATTTATTATGTCCACGGTTAAAGGTCCTGCCAAAGTCTGTTACATCACTAACCAAAACAGTTAACTCTCCAAATTTAATAACAGGACATTTTAGATAGAGAATGTCCTTCTCAGTAAGGACAGTCAAATCTTTAGCCTTAACTAATGTTATTCCTGACTATTATGTGATTACTCAATGACCAGCAAATTATGAGAAACTGGCAGTAATTTATCATTCAGACAATAAGTAGAGGATGATATTCTATGCTGTGCCATAACTAAGCACACCTGCCTTCCCTCATACTAACTGTATGACAATTCACAACCTCTGAGGATGCCTGCCATAGATGCAGGTGAAACGTCAGGAGAAAATGCTTCTAGAACATGGCCATATAGCCCAAAAAACCAACAACCCAATTCTATTGTTATTTCTTTTTCATGTCAATCTTGACTGGAAACCTAAACAATCTGGGCCTTTGATGATGATGATGATGATGATGATGATGATGATGATGATGATGATGATGATCTTTATTTATAGACTGTCCTATCTCCTTGAGGAGACTCAGGGCAGTTTCCAACACATATGGCAAACATTCAATGCCAACAAAGGGACAAATTAGCAAATTAAATCAAAACAACACATCAAACAATATGAAACAGCCTAACTGTAAACTTAATATCAAGTAAGAATTAATAAAATAAAACTTGACAACCCAAGCAGACACAGTCACATAATATAATATTATCAGGTATCTTAGTTCACTGCACAATTTGTGACACTGGCATTAATAATACTCTCCCAAAGTGATATAGATGCTAACTCTGTTAAAAATGCGCAAGATATCACCCACAAAAGGAAGCAAAAATAGGTCTGTTTAATCATTACCTGGGTCTGGTGCCTCGACCACTTTCACATTTTGTAAGGACATAATTCATCCACTTCCTTGCAAAACTGATATACTGGTCTCCAATTTTCTGTCTGAAATCTCCAGACATCAGACGAATGACTTCTTTATGATACTAAAATATATTAAGATTATTCTTTAAAGTCAGAAATAGATACTGCTATTTGCAACTGATAGAAAAATTAATCCATGTTCTCCTTAAAAATGATATTCTGACTTTAAAATTCTCAAACAATCTGAGATCAGAAAGAAGCATAATATAATTATCATGAAACATCAATAACATAATAATGAAATGTATCTAAGAAACAACTTGTAAACCAAGACCACTGACATCTGCAGCAAGATAAAATTATAAAGTCAGATAAAACGAAATCATGACACTCAACAAAACAAGTGTTCTCATTAAGACAAATGTATTTTACGCATTTGTTTTTATTTTTATAAAATGGCAGCAGAATCTACTTGGCCAGACTACACTTCAGCTTTTCAGAAGATGACTGAAGTGAAACGCAATGACACACAACTAAGAAAAATATGACAATCTTGCTTAAAGACAAGTTTCTCTCCCCATTCCTCAAATGATACAGAAGAGTCTTTCAGAAACTTTCCATTATCAAAAATAAAGGGAAAAATACACTTGAACCTACCTCAAAACCGAAGTTGTAACACTGAATCATGGCTTCTCGATAATATTGCTGCAAAGTGACTGATTCTGACTCATCAATCTCTGCATCAAACTCTGATGTGAACATGCGCTCCACTCTGTCAAGCGCACTGCTTATCTTATTGCACAGCTGCAAAGCATCACTCTGGAAAGTAGGGAAAAATCTCAGCCACAATATTACTTGCACAAAAGAAGCAAGATTCCAAAGGAACATTATGTCAAGCTAAAATAACTACTTCTTGCCAAATGCACAAATTACCATGTCTTGGGATAATTTACACTGCAATCTCAGATAAAATACTTGTTTTTCTGAGAGTATGTCTCACTTTACTCAGTGGTACTTATTTCTGAGTAGACACATACAAGATTGCATCATTAGCAATTAAAATAGATCATAGCATGGGTATTAAATGAAAAAACCTATTTCATTAGAAGCACCATAGAACATCTCCCAGCACACATGTCACCCATCTACAGACTGTAAATATAAAATTGTAAGATTTTTTTAGTTCTTCAATAAATCATTCCATAACAATTTGTTGAAACACTGGACAAACATGATAAGACTCGTAACAGCAGCAATTATTGTAATCGTCCAACTTTATAGTCCTTTTTGAGAAAGACATTCTCACCACTATGCCTTCCTGTCATTAGAGCAATTTGATATGTCAAATCAACAGGATCATAGCTTATATTTCAAAGTTTAAACATGTGATGTCTTAAGCTATACAAATAACCGAGGCAGCATTTTGCAAATACACTCAACTCATGTACATGAAACTGACATTGCAAATAATCTTTCTTCTTATTGGTTTGTGGTGGTAATTTTATAAAATGTGCTTAAAATGAGCAACAATAAAAAGAAGAAAAATCAGGATGATACCGACCTTCAATTGCTGTAGAGCTTTAGCAATGACTGGTTGGCTGGATGTTTGCTCCTGATGCAGAGAGATCAGTCCTTCAAAAACCTGTTGGAAAGCTTTTCTCTGGTTCACAAGATGAACAGGTTGCATGACGACAAGGAGTAGGTTATCAACCTAGAAACACAAGGTTAACTTGTTGAAAACAGGCCCGGAATGAATTAAGTAATACCTATTTTGAAGGATAAAATACAGTTGGATTTAACATTTTAAACTCATGTTAAACAGTTTAACAACGTTGGTTTAATGTTTTCATATTTGATTTTTATGGATTTGATTAATGTGCTTTCTATAGGAATTTCTAGGTTCTCCGGTGCAGCTTTATGGTCAATTTCTGCTAGAAATTAACCATAGAGTCACACTGGAAGATCTGGAGATTCCTAAAGAGATATTCTCTCAGGTTTTTTTTGTTTTTGTTTTTTTGTTTTTTTGGGGTTTTTTTGTCGTGTCAGGAGCATCCTGTTGTGAGAGAGATAATTCTCTCAGGTAAAATTAAATGTGTTTTTTTAATAGTTATCAATTAAGAGTCCTGTACCCTTAAACCCGGAGCCCCTGGTGGCACAGTGGGTTAAAGCCAGAGTCAGACATGACTGGACTTAATGTCAGGGGACTACCTTTACCTTTTACCCTTAAACCCGGGCCCCCCGGTGGCGCAGTGGGTTAAAGCACTGAGCTGCTGAGTTTGTTGACCAAAAGGTCGCAGATTCGATTCCAGGGAGCAGCGTGAGCTTCCGCTGTCAGCCCTAGCTTCTGCCAACCTAGCAGTTCGAAAACATGCAAATGTGAGTAGATCAATAGGTACCGCTCCGGCGGGAAGGTAACAGCGCTCCATGTGGTCATGCTGGCCACATGACCTTGGAGGTGTCTATGGACAACGCCGGCTCTTCGGCTTAGAAATGGAGATGAGCACCACACCCCAGAGTCAGACATGACTGGACTTAATGTCAGGGGACAACCTTTACCTTTACCCTTAAACCCATAAATCTGGAGGGCCTGCTGCATTCTCTTAATTCTGCAATATTTTAATAGTACTTCCATAACATAAATAAATTTTATGGGAAATGTCTATAGTTATACTTTCAGACTGTCTAAGAATGGTTCTTTTAAAATCCAGAAAGTTCAATTAAGACAATTCCACATTCTATTTTCTATATGCTATTTACCATGCTACACGGAGTGTCAGTTATGGAATAAAAATCCCAGTATCAACCAGCTCCAAATACACTTTTTATCTTCCCATATATTAACAAATTCATTAATCTATGAACAGCATGATAGTGCCACATCTGTCCTCGGTGGGAGGGAAGATGACACAGGCACAGCTCTATCTCATGCCTTAGACCAGTAGTTCCCAACTGTTGGTCCTCCAGTTGTTCTGGACAACAACTCCCAGAAATCCCAGTCAGCAGTTATAACTTAGAAGAACATCAAATACTATTACAGAAAACATTTACCTGCACACTTCTCAGTGTGTCAATAGTTTCCACCTGAGGGACTATTTTAATAGGCTGCCCTTCCCAAATGCTCCAGCTGTCAATAACTTCATCATCTTTTTCACTGTATTTTGTCATAAGTAAAAATGGTTCACTTGCAACTTCATCGGAGTCTTTTGAACAGTCTTTTCCTGCAGCTGTATTCAGCAACTGCAAGATAATAGGTTTTTCCCCCACAAGGTTATCTGGCACAAAGATCTGTAAATTTTCAAGTCCAGGGATTTGTACCTGAAGAACAAACCAATATAGTCCCAGTTATTAAAGTTAGAGATGTATCAAATTTTCTGAGGAGGAAGGATATTTTCAAGGGATGACATGTAATATCAGGAAAAAACACTCTTTTGACTGTGTTATTCCCCCTTATGTAATGATTCCAACCAATGAAGGAACACATAATGAGTAAGATTACACAGCAAAGAGTGTGGAGCAATGAAAAGTACTACACTCGCTTACATGAGTGCAAGGAAAGGCATTCTCACATTGCATCTTACCATCCCTGCTTAGGAAGACAGGGGCACCTCCCAACTGTTTCTCCATCAAAGGACCTATCTTTTGCCTTGAGAAGCAATAAAAAGCAGCATTGCTGCACCTTGCCACTGTAGGAATGCATTTTCTTCTCATTTCTCTTATCACAATGGACAAACACCATTGCATATCTGGCTTGAAATCTTTTCTTTGTCAAAATCTTTGCTATGTGCAGGATATGTTTCATAGACTGTGCATTCCATCATGTGAGCATCCATCCATCTGTAGTAAGATGGCTAAAACACAGGCCTAGCATTTCCATTAAATAGATCCTGTACTGAGTATTCAAACATGCATAAACCCACACTACACACAACTGGTTCATTTTCCCATTTAACATGTTTTGGCAAAAATGCTATAGCTTGGAGTAGGCCCCAGTGAATGCTACTTCAGGAACATTACAGTTAATTTTAAAAAAACCATTAAAGCCTTAAGAATGATTTTACCTTCATGTACTGTTGTGCTTTGAGGGCACTGAGAAACTCTCTCACAGAAGCCGACAATGTGAACTCTGCTGCTATTTCAAGATCCTAGGAATAAGAAAAGTACACGTTATCGAACTGAATTGTCAAATGTATCAATGACACTGAAGGTGAGAATTACTCAAAAATGCTCCACCTCTCTCTGATTTTTACCTTCCTTAACCTCTTGGCAAAGCCAAGAGCTTTGGATGCTCTCTCTCTAGCTTCATGAAACAGCTCTTTCAGTGCTCGGCTGGTCTCTATAACAGACCTCCTATAAAAATAGAAAAGAATTCAGTCATTCCAAAATATCTTTACCTGTGTAGTCAAAGAAGACTTCCTTTTTAAAATAGAAGAAGGAAAATTCTTACAAACAACCGGCTAAAAATGAGCTGAGGAGTCCTAAGACGACACATTTCACTTTTAGAGGTTGAATACAAAATAAGTATTTTTTTAAAAAAAAACTGCACAACAATTCTTCGAATTCACTTAACTAATAAAATAAGAATGCACAAACTGGAATTTTGGCTGTACATTTTAAGCAAAATATGGCTAGCATCTTTAGCAGTTACAAAATAAAAACCTGGATTTACGAGACAACAACTCTTGGGATTCAAAATTTATTATGTGACTCAAAAAGCCTTCTATTTTAGCCAGACAGCACCACAACAAGAGTTTCTGACTGATGTTCTACAGTGTGGGGTGTTTGGAAACAGCATCTGGGGTGCTCTCCCAGTCATGAGGCATATTGAGAGAAACAGTTGCAGCACGAAGCTTTTAAACTAGGCCTGGGCTAACTTCAGCCCTCTGGGTGTTTTGTACTTTATCTCCCACAAATCCCAGCCAGCTTACCAGCTGTTAGGAATTGTAGGAGTTGAAGTCCAAAACACCTGGAAAGCCAAAATTTGCCCATGCCTGTTTTAAAGTGAAAGCCCAGGAGTACCTGATTTCATCTGAAGCAGAACTATCATCAGCACTAGCCCAAAACTCGGCACAGCTCACTTGTAAGCCAGCATCCAGAAAGATTCCTGTTGATTTTAGCAGCACACCTGCAATGTCACTGAAAAAAATAAATAAACTGTCACTACTGTGAACATCATAGACAACATTTATGTAAAAAAAATTCCAAAGCACTCTGGGATACCAATATTGAAGTATTGAAATATGGTGAATATAAATGACATAAAAAAGAGTTCAAATAAGGAAAGGATCTTTGATTTCTTTGCTATATCTACCTGAGGCTCTATAACAGATTAAAGAAAAAGTATTCACCTGTTTTACTCCTGCAGATACTAATATTTTATTTTTAAATAATTTTATAGCTCTGTTTAAATTAGCAAATCTACAAAGGACCCTTACAGTTAAGACTTGTAGCTCCATTTGTAAAAAACCAAAATTCAATTCATAATTATTTTCTGAATATCATTTTTTTCAGTAAAAGGGGATTTTTTAAAGTTTCCAGAAGTTTTACACCTCTAAATATTGAAAACTCTAATTATATATTTAATGTACTAGAACTTCACAAATACAACTACAGGCATTCCCTGGGTTCTGAACAAGACAAGTTCTGTAGGTTTGTTCTCAAGTTGAATTTGCATGTTAAATCAGAACAAATATATTTACATTGCAATTTACATTAGAAAAATATTTTGCTATCTGTGCCCCTGTTCAGAAGATTTCATCTGACTTTCTGTTCCTGTGATAATTGAATTTTGAAAAATCTGGCTTGTTGTGGAAACAAGGATTGTGATAAAGCTTCAGTCGAGACATCCCCATGATAACTCTCATAGGAGTGAACTTCCCTTCCTAGAGGCAGATTTCTCTGTTGTCTCACCCCTGTTAATAACTAGGAGTCTTGTGTAGGTTGATGTTAGTAACACAGGGATTACCTGTAATTTTGAAAAGTATTAAATCTCCTATTAATAAAATTTAATTCAAAGCTAAACAAACATGAGAATTAGAATAACTACCAGAACAGTTTTCCAGCTTGAGCTTCACCTCCTCGTATATAAGGAGTAATTTCTTTGGTGAAATTCCATTCTTCTTCCAAGAGATTTTTTAAACTATGAGATGCCTGAGGTAACTGCTGCAGCATTTGGATCCAGCTTCGCATATAATCAAAATATACCTTGAAATGTGAGGAAAAGCCAATTAGATGATAGCTTCAAAGTGTGCTCATAAACTCAAAAATGTGCTACAGTAAAAGCAGAACCTATAGAGAATACGCTGATAGCTTTATGAAATGGAACATGCCTTACATACTTTCTTATCCTCTCTCTAAGCACATATCCATTTATGTGCAGAATCATGTTTTATATCTGATCTATATATGTTTAGAAGTTCCTCTGAATTCAGTAGAACTCAATCCTTAGTAATTATGTCTGTGAAGCTGGTATGACTTTCCACAGTTTTGTAATGAAAACAATCCAAATTCTATTGATGAATGAGAGATAGCTGCAAGAAATCAGTAAATCAAAGCAATCCATCCTTTAAAATTGAATGTTTTCATTTCCAAGTTCATAACAGAAATTCATAATTTTCTCATGGAGATTAGGAAATGTTTAAAAAGGTAAATTAAAACAACACAAGTGAGGAACTCAATGAGAAATGTTGGATGTGGATTCCTAGTTTCAATATGACTTCCCCTTATCCAGAGCTCCAGGAAAAATGAGTCTTTTTCTGACCACTCTGAAAGCCAAAATATAACTCACCTTTATTTTTCTCCATGTTTTTCAAATGACACCATTAATATTTATAGTCCTTGGAAGTAAGGCCCTTGTTGGGTCCCTTTTTAAAAATAGCAGTCTCTCTTAAGTTATTGAGATAATCATTATATGGACAGGCTGCTCATCTGTAACTGTGTTTCTTCAAGTGGGCCTCTGTGTATTCCCAACCTCTGATTTTCAAGTTGGCAGTAATCCCACCTACTCCTTCCCAGGGCATAAAAGGTGCTCTGACCCCATGCTCCTCAGTTCCTGAGCTGCAAGTAGCAGCTAGAAGGAGGAAGTTTGCATAGTACACGGGTGTAAGAATTCACAGATGACCACTCAAAGAAACAGTTATATGTGAGCAACTTGTCCTTCTTCATGGACTCTGTGAATACACACATATGGAGACGAGCAAGCTGAGGTATAGGTAGACAGGACATATGTCAAACCAGCATCTGGTAGTGTGTAAACCAAGTGTAACATTTATTGACACATAGCAATAGAAAACTGCATAACACTGCAGTGCAAAAAACACGTTACCCACCAGGGCAATGATTGAGTAAGTACCATATGGAAACAATAACCCTTTCTGGCAACAGCAGAAGGTACTCTTAGTTAGGAAGAAATATCTTTCAGTACAAACAATTTTAATGAATGTATCAACTTAGTGCAACAATAGGCATCATATGCAATAGCACATAAGCAAGAGAAGAAGCTTTACAATGTTCTTAATATAGACATTATGAAAACTCTCAATAACACATGTGTTATACTACAGAAAAAACGTGTTGGTCTATCACTGGCTCCGGTTTACAACTGAGAAGGGGCATTAACCCTTGGGGGGGGCCATAGTCGGCCCTGGTGGCTAGGCCAGGCAAGAGGAAAGGATCGGTCTGCCAAAGGGAGTGTCCGTGTGTAACCTCGTCCAATCTGTAATGAGACCCAAAAGTCAAAGGGTTGGCTCAAATTGCCTCATGAAGGAGTTAAGAGAGTGGCATGGCCAGAATCGATCAAGCCAACCATAACGAGGCTATCAAGCTCGATTTTGATGGCGCTCTCGATGATATCGAGTGCTGGGACAGATTAGGCCTCAGGCTCGGTGGCCTAGATTTCTTTGAAGATTGACATATCTTCGAAGTGGTTGACCCCTTGGAAGGGTCTGTCAATGGCGCTGACATCAATGAAGCTGTAGAGGTCAGTGGAGCCATGGCCTGTTGGTACAGGAGTGCTTTCAGCCTGGACACCCTGTTCTTGCAAGCCTGGGCTGTGAAGGTCTGGCAATGCTGGCTCAAGCCGGCCACATGACTCTCTCCAAGACAGAGAAGTCACTTGGAATGGCCATCAGAATCCGGGATCTTTGACGCACCCTAGATATAGCGCTTGAAGCGTGTCGTCAACATCTTTTTGGAGAAAGGCATGTGATTCACGCAAGCTAAGTTCCAGAGGAACTGAGGAGCATGCGGCCAGGGTGCCTCTTATGCCCTGGAGAGGAGTGGGCAGCGTTACTACCAAAACTTGAAAATTCAAGAATGGGAAGCTTTCCGTTAGAGTCTGCACAGGCACAGTAAACCCATATGTGTGTAATCACAGAGACTATAAAGAAGAAATAAAGTACCTTTCATTTTCAAAGTGCCATACAAATTGGCTTTATTGGCAGGTTTTTCCATCATCAAGGACATGTCCCAAAAGAAAAAAAGGGAGTGGAAAGCATGCACTGAAGCATTTGCAGTTTCACTGGATGATGAACAGGGACTAGCTTATCTCCTTCTTATCACACTGTTCCATCTTGGAGACAGAGTGATGTAGTCTCCAACTGATCTTTAGTCTCCTGATAAGTGGCAGAGACTAGATTGTGTCTTCCTCCAGTTCTGCAGCTCCAAAGTTACTAAAAATTATTGAGAGTGGTTGTTTTTTTCAGCAAGGAGAGGGGAGGGGATACATTTCTGTGGCTAACAGATTGGACCAGACTGTTGTATACCTTGGCATTATGTTCTCCCTGGAAAGAAGACATGCAGCCTTCTGTGCCCTAGGCGTCCCTTTTGGAAGCATTCTGCTCTTCAGCCCTGTAATTCCAAAATTACACCCACAGGGATATATTAGAAACATAGGGAGCTCTTCCTTATTTTGGGATGGAATTCAAAAATGTAGATGTCTCAGTCTGGATCTGTACACAAAGGGATCTTGTAGCACATTTGAGACTAGGAGAAAGATTTCATCAATTTAAGTCTACTTCATCTGATGCATGGAGTGGAAGGACAGTCCTCTTCTTTTTGAAATTATAGAGGCATCTGCTCACACATGTTTAGTAAGAATAATAACTATAGCATTATAGAGGCATCTGCTCACACATGTTTAGTAAGAATAATAACTATAGCATTTGAAGAATGTTACACAAACCAATGTGCAATCTTAACACAGAATTACCAATAATATGATGTGTGGTTTTAAAAAACCAAATCATGAAATTTGAAGTGAGAAGCTTATCACTAGAGAAAACGAACTAAAGATTATAAGAGATATCAAGTCAGATGGACAAGATTTTAGGCTTGAGATACTAGAAGTTATGAGGAACTACTACTTACCATTAACATCTTATGCAGATCTTCTTCAAAAGAGTCGATGTTGCAGTTGTTCTTCTGTAAATCATCTAACACCTCGCGTAACATAAACTGATAATATTGCTTCATTAGCAGACCACCCTTCAGGACCTCTTTACACTCTCGTACTAACTGTAATGAAACAGTCCATAAATATAGCAATAAATTTGATGTTTTCTTATTCGGAATTGTGAAATTTGGCATTAACACCAGTTCCTTTGTGGCATAAGATCAAGCAAAACAAAATGTACAGTTGCAGAATAGCTAGTTGATCACAGTGCATTTCTATAGTCCTTAATTATGCCAAATATTTTTCAATCTTTTCCTCATCCATTCTCAAAATGACACAGGCCTACTATATTTTATTGTGTCTTTAGAAGCCATATATATCAGAAGAAACAGAGAGAATCTCAAATATTTGATAGAGAAAAGAATACATTGGGGTTTGCTTGTAACTCGGATTGTAGGTCTTCTGAAAATGAAAGTGTTTGGATGCAGAATTAAACAATAACTCAAACTGCTAACATAGATTAGGGTGTTAATTTTATTAAATTTAAATAAAATGGATGCCTCTCCTAACTCCCTTTCATTCAGCAGACATTTAATCTAAGATATGGTCATGCATGTCTTCCACAAAAACCTTAGTAACAATCCTTACTTTAACCAGAAACAGAAATGACAACACGTTTTCTATTTAATTGCTTATAATAGTAAGCAACTCAGCAAAATGACAGATGACATCAGTGTAACCTTTAATAAGAGAAAGGATTTTATATACCATGTGTTAGCATTACCTTCAAATAATGTCTTCCTTCATAAACTTTTAAGTATATTTCCCTCCAACTAGGTAGTTATTAATGTATTCTGGACGAATATTAGCTTTACCAATAAAACCAATCAGGCGTACCTGCTTAATACTCAAGAGAGATGGCTCCCCTGCAGGTCGTTGTTCCAATCTTAATTTGAGACATTCATGGATAACATTGAGGAGGACTCGGCAAAGAACTAGAAATGCCGGCTCAAAAGATGGTAAATCCATGGCTTTCAGTTCTTCCCATGACACAGTACTGCATTTTTGATCTGAAGAAGGCGGAGAATTTGACAACTGCACGTAATCTGAACATAAAATGGGATCTGGATATTCTGAAAACTAATAAAAAAAGATAGTTTACAAGTAATTTTCCCAACTCCAAGTTAGCAGCTCATTAGGGGAAAATTTCCCCATGCTCATTCCTCAAACAAAACTTTAAAAACCACTGTAAGAAATCCATCAAAGTTGCCTGACAAAATTGTAGCATTGTAGCTGTAGATCAGGGGTCCTCAAACTAAGGCCCGGAGGCCGGATGCAGCCCTCCGAGGTCATTTACCCAGCCCTTGCTCAGGGTCAACCTAAGTCTGAAACGACTTGAAGGCATAAAACAATAACAACAACAATCCTAGCTCATCAGCCAAAAGTAGGCCCACACTACCCATTGAAATACTAACAAGTTTACATTTGTTAAATAGTTCTTCATTTTAATTATTGTATTGTTTTTAAGTGGATTTTGCACTACAAATAAGATATGTGCAGTGTGCATAGGAATTCATTCATATATTTTTTTCAAATTATAATCCGGCCCTCTAACAGTTTGAGGGACTGTGACCTGGCCCTCTGTTTAAAAGGTTTGAGGACCCCTGCTGTAGATGAAAGCCACAATTCAGAAAGTATAGCACACATGCTGCTGGGTACCTGCAGAGCATTTGAACATCCTCATAATCACACTATAACAAATTGATAAGCAATACAAAACAATAAAATACATGCAAGTGTTAGGCGGTGTATTAAAAGAATCTAGATTGTGGGCTGATGATATAAAATCCCTCTTCCCAAAAAAAGCTGTTTCTCAAGACAGCAAGAAAACTGGACTAAATAAGAATGCAGAAAGAGGACACAAGTAAATTGCACATTACACACCACAACTCAAAAGAGTGGTCTAATGCAAATCTGTCAAATATATCAAAAGAATTCCATTGAGAGTGAAATGTGAATAAGCTAAATAAGATAAAGGTAAAGGTAGTCCCCTGACATTAAGTCCAGTCATGTCTGACTCTGGGGTGTGGTGCTCATCTCCATTTCTAAGCCGAAGAGCCAGCGTTGTCAGTAGACACCTCCAAGGTCATGGGGCCAGCATGATTGCATGGAGCGCTGTTACCTTCCCGCCAGAGCGGTACCTATTGATCTACTCACATTTGCATGTTTTCGAACTGCTAGGTTGGCAGAAGCTAGGGCTGACAGCGGAAGCTCACGCCGCTCCCCGGAATCGAACCTGCAACCTTTCGATCAACAAGCTCAGCAGCTCAGTGCTTTAACCCACTGTGCCACCGGGGGCTCCTAAGCTAAATAAACAGCTATATAAACTGTCAAAATCCTGTAAAAGCTGAAAGTGACACTGCAGGCTTGTCTTAATTTATTAATGTTCAATTCAAATTATTCAATGCATCCCAAAACAATGGTTAGATTTAGGTGAAATTAAAAATCTAACAATATGCACATTTCCACAGGGGTCAACTTAAAAATAAACTATATTAGCTGGAAGAAAGTATGTTGTAACAATATCCTTGATTACTGGTTGGGGATGATGAAAATTTTACTCCTAAATCTGGAGAGCATATGGTTGTCTATTCTAACATAGACAGAAACATGTAAATCAAACCTTATCTCAGGCCTAAGGCAGCCTTGGAAAAAAGTTACCTCTAAAGACCCTCCTCGGGGTTATTTGGCAGCAAAAAATGGCTAGTAAAGTGAGTGGGAGCAGCAACATCCTTTTTTTCACCAGAGATATTAGACATTAAAACAGATGCTTACTGACAAGGTTGTGCAATGTTCTAAGTGCGTTCTACAAACACACTTACAACACAAGTATCCTAAGATACCAGGTATTAATGCACTGTTGAACAAGGAAGTTCCTTCCCAGTTTTCATGGGACACTACACTGCATAAACATATCCTAGGGTACCTCAACACTGACCATTTAGGTCAGTTCCAAAGTGCAACAGCAGAAACAGGTTTCATGGTGTGGATGACTAAACTGTCCTCTATGCAGAGGTGGCCCTAGGTAATTTTCAACGGTAAGCAAACAGTATATTTGGGCCCCCCCCCCCCAACCAATCACTGATATATATTTTCTGTTCGTCATAGGAGTTCTGTGTGCCATATTTGGTTCAATTCCATCATTGGTGGAGTTCAGAATGCTCTTTGATTGTAGGTGAACTATACATCCCAGTAACTACAACTCACATATGTCAAGGTCTATTTTCCCCCAAGAGCGCCTCAAGAGCGCCCCTGGGCAAAATCAACTATACTGCAAATGCTTACTCTGCGTAATGGGTTGAGCCGCCCCTGCCTCTATGGAACCAGTTTTGAGACTTGGATCCTGATTAAGCACCAACAGAGGCTGACCTCAAACCAGTTCAGGATCTACAGTACAGCTTGACAGCCTCAGAGAATCCATTTTGTTTTCAACTCCCTCCACAAGAATGTGCATCAGTATAGCACTTCAGGTGTTCATACAGAAATTTGTATTCTGTGAAGTGGCTTTTGCCATGCAATGTGTACACTAGAATGTCCTAATGCACATTACGGACTCTATTTTGGAGTATTCATGACTTTGATTATCCTAGTTTAAAGAGTACAACATTGCAGTTTTGCAGTGTGATTTGTATAACCACAGCACTTTCAAGCTAACTTCAGTTGCATTCAAGAGTCAGTGTAGTTGGTGCCCTACTTTAAGCAATAATACCAGCAGTCTCTCTTATACCTTGCCTCTTCTGAAGAAGTGTATAATTTAAACCAACAAAACAAGAACAATCAGAAACTATAGATGTTAGACAATGTGCCACTATTGTTCTCCATCCCCCGTCGCCTTAAACAATACATACCGAGTTTTGTTGTTTTGTCCACTGGCAGTTAAATTATTGTTCTTCATCATAATATAACTTCAAAGGACAGGACCAGGTTTAAGGAAGGGACATAAAGTACTATGAAATATATTTTTACTAAGTATTGGTTTTATGACTATTCAACACACCTTAGTTGACACAGGCTGCCCAAAACATTTACTAAAAAACAAAAATACATTTTAATATTTTTATGTTTACTGGTTTAAATTTTAATGACACAAAGGGTTTATTTTGTGTGTGTGTGTGTGTGTGTTAACGTATTTAGATTGTTTACGTTTGCACTGTGTCCTATTTATTGTTACTTTTCTTGAATCTGTATTTTCGGGAGAAAGGTGGGATAAAAATAAAGTAAATAAACAAATATGTGTATAAAAAAGAAAAGCAGGCATACCTGGGTTTAATCTTCTCAATTAAAGAGCTCTTTTAAATGCTGTTATTATTATTACATTTTTCTATTCTAACACCTGGACCCAAAGGTGAGTTATTCTGGAGTTATTCATTCAGTACCTTAATCTTCTAAAAACCTTTGTTTAGTCCCAAACCCCACTTCCATACAATACAATAGTTTTAAAAATGTTTCATCCATGGAACAAGTTGCACAGAAAAGTAACAGAACTCCTCTTGACCCATTTCATTTCAAACAGAGTTTACAAATATAATATAATAAAGTTTCTTAATATTTGTGCCAATTCATTTTTTAAAAACTGAACAGATTCCACGCATAAGGCCCACTGTACAGCTATCATGGGGCTTCACCTAAAAGTAGAGTGACTGAAACTGGCATACCACATTATGGTTTTACATATGATAGTTCACATAACACATTACACAATTAAGATGTCTCACAAGCTAGGCAATTCATATCACAGTACAACTGTTTACATATATTCAATATGCAGAAAAATGATTCTGAAGGGCAAAATAGAACAGAACCGTTGTTGAAAGCCTTGAGATGGGAACAAGGAAGAGGGCCTCTCGCCAGCTACTTTCAGTCTTTGGCACACTCTTCAAGCCTTGCTCTCATTCCAAACCTTTCCATACCAACAGACTTTTAGGTCCTGACTCTAATGAGCTTTAAATAGTGTGCTGTTTTTTTGGTTTTTATGCGCTGTCTTTTAATGAAGTCTTCAATTATTTAAATTCTATAGATTGCACAGGAATCTTAGATGCATTTTAAAACAGCTACTATGTAGTATTCTTTCTAATCTGCACTGGTTTAAATATTTTGTAAGACATTGTGGGTTCCAGCATGGAAGGAAAAGCATGGGATATAAATGAAAGAGGAACAACAGCATCAACCAATCATGTGATGATGATACCAGAGAAAACATCCACCTAACACATCTACATTCCCAACCTACCTCCAACTGCTGATCATTCTTTATCAATGCCATTCGGGCCCTTTGTAAGGAACCATGCATTAACTTGTGCAGTCTTAAAATTAGCTTTCGTAACCCCATTTGTTTCAGTGCTTTATCTACAAATGGTCTATAAATAGAGGTCAAACAGTGTCTGCTGCAGCCGGCCTCACCACTGCACTCTGTGACAACCCAGCAGGTTGAGTCATCCTCGGATTCAAGCCTGTCAAACTTTCTGGACAAATGATCCTGTGCCTCAAAGTCAAAATTTGGCCTACTAGGAAAATTATTCTGGATGGCTTGTCTGAGTTCCTCCACACTCTCCTCTGAGATTTCTTCTTCATCTTCGCTTTCCTCTGTGCAAGCCCCTGAAGTTTCCCTGTCCTCATCTTCTGGGTCCATATCCCTGAACGGACCAGGAGAGGGGATTTCAAACACTGGCCAGCCAATGTCAGAGAGATCCTTGATGCCCAAAACAGTTCCCATAATCCTTAGTTTCTGGTTTAAGTCTTTTGTAATGTTTAACCAAAGACAGAGTGCCTGCACCCTGTCCTGAAAATCCTTTGCAGCGTATTTTTCATAGTCACTTTGAAGGGCCTTCAGAGATGGATAAAGTGCTTCTACATATTCTAGCAGCTCCATTATCCGCTTTACTTGTTCAAACGAGACCCGCTGTCGATGGAGGTGTTCATGGTAGCTTGAGTAGCCCACAGCACTAGCTCCATAGGCTGCTTTACACAGTCTTCCCGATGTACCATTAAGACTGGCTCCATTTTCTATACAAGAAAGGTTCCCATAGTTCACTTTGAAAGTAAGAATTTCATTGACAATATCTGGGATGGCTTGACGGGCTGTGTACAAATAGAAATCTTGGTCGTTAATAGTCCGGCCTGCATGCCAAGCTTGTAGTTCAAGCCAGATCAATTCATTGGATCGGTTTAACTCAACAGAGGAAGTGCTTTCTTGGCCTTTTTGCTCCTTGTCCTTTTTCTTGGAAACTGAGGTAAGCTTTAACAAAAGCCGTAGGGTTTCGAAGAACTTCAGGCGGTCGGCTGGGTAATCAGTTCGGGAAGTCTGCCGTGTGGTTTTGGCTATAGGCACAGGTACAGATACTGGAGGCTTTGCATTGCTGCAGCCAAGGCTGAGGTAAGGCTTATTGAGATCAACATCTAAAATGGACTTTTTTGGCAAGGACCCACCAACCGATTCCAACATGAATGAACACTGTACGTTTTTCTTGTGATCCCTCTCTGTTGTCCTTAAGGTGGCTCGGATCTTTTTCCCTTGCTTGTAGCTGTGTTCTTCTGAGTTCTCAACAGTTTTGACACTCTCTTTGTTAGGCAGCTGGTTTGGTGAGCTCATCTTTTCTGAAAAATCATAAAACAAAAAGCATTTGGAGAACACAAAAAAGTTGGGGAAAGTTTTAAATGATTAATACATTCTCTCTATTCCCACCATTTCTATGAGTTTTCAGTTTTAACTGTGCCATGCTAAATATATAAAAAATCTCCTAGAAATGTAATATGTAACAGGCCTTTAAAATTAAGTACAGTATATTCTGGCGTATAAGACTACTTTTTAACCCAAGAAAATCTTCTCAAAAGTCAGAGGTCGTCTTATACGCGGGTGTAGTCTTATGCATGGGAGTTGTCTTAACTCTATATTTTAACTGGAAAAGTTGGGGGTCGTCTTATACGCCCAGTCGTCTTATATGCCGGAATATACGGTAATGGTTTCCAAAATCAAGGTTTCAAATATAACACATTCCTTCTACTGATTGACAATTTTATTATCATAATCCAAGTATTAAAAATAATACTGTATTTGAAAAGATGATTTTTACTAGTTGCCATAAGAAAACGTGGCATAATAGAGTACAGCAATAAAAAACAGTTATATCTCACATAATTAAAGATGGGGCATAATGCATCAATAAATACTCCAAATGTGTATTTCCAAACCTGGATTCTTGAGCTCTAGTATGTTGTAGTGGTTTAAGTGTTGAGTAGACAAGGGTTTGAAACACTGCTCCATCATGGAAACTCACTGGGCAACCTTGGAGAAGTCACAGCTCTCTCAAGGATCAAAGGAAGGTTATGGCAAAACTTCTTAGAATAAATCTTGTCCTCTCCCCTCCCAACAAAAAATCTACAAGACGGATTGCCACAAATTGGAATTGACTTGGAGGCACAATGACATAACAACCGATTTCTTAATTAATTTCTCCCCTTTGTACTACTATCCCTCCCCCAAGTGAACAAGAATCTTTTTGAGATTATCTAGATATATGAAATTGATGTCACACTTTTTGTTTGTTTCTTACACTCTTAGTTATTCATATTTAACAACAACCTAACTTAAGACCTCAAAAAGATGTATTTTGCTTAACGGCCATTAATGATTTAATAGTAATGATTAATGACAAAGAAGAAAATACTGGAACACATTTGCTGCACAAAAATCAAGCCAATGCTGAGTCACTTTGTAACTAAAGACAGACATAATTATACTGTAGAGTATTTTAAATAATAGGTTTATGTCTGAAACCATGCTAATGGAAACATTGTGCTCAACTAATTGTAAGTATAAGAATTGACTTTTCATTATAATCATCTCTTTTGCTGCACACAGCAGCTGGAATCAGTAACTAACTGATAGTTCAGAGACCAGAGATAGTTCAGAGATCGTAAGATGGAATGGAGGAGGATTTCATATCTTCTTACCTCCACTTACATTTTTTAAACTCTACTGACACTTTCAAGTTCCAAAACTTGAAAGTGTTCCACATATATTTTTTAGAATTTGTTCCACATATATATTATAAATTGTTTTATCTGAAAGGTTTTATTTTTGCAACTTCTTTTGTATACAGCATCAGTTTACATCTGAATGGGGAATAAAATTACATTAGATCCACTGCCTTCTCACAGGCATGACTGGACTGCAGAAGAATGAGAAACTGGACTTACCATGAAGATTCATTTTGAGATGGCAAGAGGAACAATCCACTATCCAATCATAATGGGTTGCTGATCTGTGCCAACCCAAGAAGGAGGGAAGTTACTGAAGCTGCTACCTGGCTTAGGGATTTTAGAGCCTATGATAGAGTTATTCAAGATTCTCTTCAAATACAGTCAGGGTTACAGATATGGCAGGAGCGAGCAACCTTTTGAGAATGGAGGGGGAGATTTAAGCTGTGCAAGATCAATGTGGGTCCAAAATATGTGAGAAGATCCTCACATGAACCTTTCCACATAAAGACAGGCCAAAGGAACAGAAGCAATAGAACATATTCAGCTGACACTTCAAAGAGCCAGTAAGCCCCAACTTAAACTGAGATGACACTGATGGACCACAAAGGGAATCTCACAGTTGTCTCTGTTCAATTAAATTAGCAAAGATTTCTCTACCCAATAATTGCCATCAGCTAGACTTTGAGGAATAGCATCTATCATTAATATTATTACACATGGCAACTGTGGCTATCAAACTTCTTACTCCCCACCCCCATCTCACCTGACAATAAGAGGCAAAACAATGCTCTCCAGTTCTCCAGTGGGAGAATCTAGTCATTCTACATCAACAGAGCCCTGGGGGGGGGGGGGGAGTAGCTTCCATGGATTAAGACTTAAGCCACTGGATACTACATGTAGGATGGGCTTTAGTTCAAGGTGACAGATGCATGGTAACCACCACAGCAGAGAAAGGATGAACAAAGAACAAACTGGTTCCATCTAGCCTTCTCTTTGACTGCATAGCACTAACATCCCACTTTCCAACCACTGCTACACTGAATTGCTGGTCAGTAATAGATAATGGCATCTTTTGATTAATCCTACAATACAATTTTGGAAGGTAAAAGATAACATAGAAAACAGTCAGATATCATTTAAAATTTAAAAAAATCACTGGAGAAATTGCAAGGTATGTTAAATTTTTCAATATTGTTTTCTCCGGTTTTTTGCATACAAACTTACACAACATTTCTTATACACACCTTTCAGAGCAGAACGGCTGGTAGGTCTCCCAACGTTACTTTTTAGGTGTTTTGTTGATAAGCGTTTCATCTGCCGTGGGGTGCTAGGAGGAGACGTTCCATAGAAAGTTTCAGTATTTGTTTCATCTGATAATTCCTCAGGATCAGACTCAGATATCTTCCAAGAAACATTTTCAGGCCTGATCTCCTGCCTAAACAGTCAAAAGAATTAAGATATAGAGGTCAATACAGAAACGGAAGTCCATTAGACTATCTCCAGTTCAAGAATGGGAGCTTTCTTGCCACTCCCTATGAAATACAGTGATTCTTCAAGAAAATGTTTCTCTCCCCCAGTTTTTAACAGTTTTATCTAGTTGGAAAGTGTTAATGGTGAGAATTTGATGCTAGCATTTGCCCAATTGACAGAAAGCAAGAAATGATAATGTTCTTATAGTCAGCATACACACAACCACATGTACACAAAGCATCCCACATATACCTGTAGCATGAGCAAGACTAATATGAAAAAGCATTAAAATGCACAATATACACATAGAAACATGCCTATCCCCACCAAATAGATAACCTTCTCACAAAATACATGCATAGAAATGGGATTGGTTGCAAAGCCATATATAGGTTTTGTTTTTTAAAGAAGTCAGGAATTTGGCAAATAAAGAAGGACAGAACCCATATTTCAAAATATATTTAAAGTTTTTATAGTCTAAAAAAGATGAAAAGATTTTTAAGTCGAGATTACAATAGCTCAACATGAGGAATATTATTCCTATTTTTGCTTTTCAGACAAGCAGACAGTCTATAGCACTAGAGAAAGTAAATTGCACAAATATATGCTTCTCAAATTCAAGATGCTTTATTGTTTTGAGTTTTTCAAATGTTACATGCTGCCTATACCCCAAAAAGAGAGCTTAAAGCTGAGAACAGATAAAATCAGCACTATTAATAATAACTTTCAAGTCCCTGCTTGTACAACATTCTTTTAAACCAAAATACATAGTATAAACAGCAGTCATCTGTAATGGTTTGAAACTCCTACTATTTTTACATGATGTCTAAAACTATACAGAACAAGGGTATGAAGTGGTGGCAAACCGTTAACCTCAAATTGATCAGGGATGAAAAAAGCTAAATAAATAAAGGACCAAAGTGATGAGAAATTATTTCTTGCCACCCATAACCTTACTTCTAGATGTCCCCATAGAACAACAGAATTCAAAAGGATCACAGAGGTCATCAAGTCCAACCCTCTGTCATGCAAGAATACACTGCTAAAGTACTTCTCTCTCTCCAAGGAAATATTTTCCAATGCCACAGCTCTTACAGTAAAAAAGTTCTTCCTAACATCTGGGTGGAGACACCTTTTTGGTAATCTGAATCCAAAAAGAGCCAAAAAAAATCAACTGCCAACTCCTGCTTTGCAGCTGCCTGTTTAGCTTCATGAAGATCTGACAATGCACTAGATGATAATCAAAGCCAACAGGGAGGGGAAAATGGAAAGGGGAAAGGAATTCTTAACAACCACAAATATTACGTTTTTAGGGCTTGAAAAGTCTTTAAACTATTACACCAATACTGGACTGTAAATTATTGAAGTTAACAGCAGCATATTCAACCAAACCTGAAAATGAAGTACAAGTCATAGTAACTCCATTAAAATAGTCATAAAATGCTCAAAATGCCCACCTCCCACCAGACCTTTTCTTGCTATATCTTGTATTGACTCCAATTTCTATATCTTTTTCAAGGGCAATCCCATGCAGAGTGAGTAATTTTTTGCAGACTAATGTAAGTGGGAAACAGCATAAATTACAGCTGGTAAAGTCCTGTTTTGCATTGCTTTATTTATTAGTTGTCATGTGTTGTCAAGTTATCTTCAATCCATGGTGACTATGAATTAAAGGCTTTGAAAGGACCCTATTATTAACAGCCTGCTCAGATCCTCCAAACTCAAGGCTATGATGTCCTCGATTGAATGAATCCACTTGTAATACAGCCTCTCTCTTTATCTGGTGCCTTCACCTTCAAACTGTCTTTGTAGTCAGACTTTACTGCACCTAAATACCAAATTGGTCAGAACAGAAAATATGGTTCTTTGCACCTAACATCATTTGATTTCTGACAAGAAGAGATTTGGATCAAGAACCAGCCCAAAACTACAAATCTGATCTTTTAGGGCAAGTGTATCTCCCTCCACATCCAACCACACACCCAATTCTTAGTCAAGCATCTAACAGTATTTCCATTAACAAGAATTAAAATTTAGGCCCCTTTCACGCAGCTGAACAAAATCCCACACTATCTGCTTTGAACTGGAATATATGGCAGTTCAAAGCAGACATTGTGGGATTTTCTGCCTTGATATTCTGGGTTACATGGCTGTGTGAAAGTGCCATTAGACTCTTTGCCTACCACTCAAATTTATCAATAGACAACCAGACCAAGGATGGTGAAACATTATCAAAGCCGAGTCCAGGATGCAATCCCTATTACTGTGAAGAAAAAACTGAAAGTAGATAAATGATGGATATTTACTTCCTTTTGTCAATGGAAATATTATCTAGATCTTGGAAGAAACAATCAGAAGCAACATTCTGAATGTCTGGACCTCCTGGCCTGTCTTTAGTCTAAGATACTTGGCTACAGAAGAACATGCTTGAGGGATGAAACTAGAACTGCATGAGACTGAATGGCAGAGAGATTAATTTTCCTCTATTTCACATGATCTACCTAATCACATACAATTACATTTGTGCATGGGCAAGAAGAAAAGATGGTACCATAAACAGTGCTTCTGACAGGATCTCAAAACCTTTAAATTAATGTATAATAATTAGGGGTTGAAAAATATTTCATACAGTCAATTTTGATGCAAATTTGGTCAATGAAACATGCACATTCTTGCATAAATGAAATGTAATGAATAACATTTGTATAAAAGCATTAAAGCTCTAAATAGTCTGGGACTTAATATTTGAAGAAGAGTCTCTCCCTACATATGGCTGTCTGAAGATTGAGAGTTGCTGGAGCAGTCTGCCTGCATTTCTCACTAAAAGGAAATATATATTAGCATGGAAGAGGGACTTCTCTGCTATGGTGCCCTACTTGAAAAATTCTTTCCCTTTGAGGCCTCCTTGGCACAAACACTGGCATAATTCCAGCACAAAATAAAAATGATTTCTTTAAAAAAAATGAAAGCTAACACATTTTGTCCAAATCTTCAGCCATGTGGTTTTAAATTGCCTTAAACTGTTTCAGTTTCAAACCACTTTTTTTCAAGCATTAAATTGCACAACAAGTCTTTAGCCTGTTGTAATTATTCTTACTGTTTAAAGTGGTTTCACTCGATTTTACTTCAGTATAAGCAGAACATAAATATTTTAATAAATAAATGAATTCAAAAATGTAGAATACACATAATAGTAGTTTCAGGACGAAAATAAGTATTCTCGGGGCTCATTAGATTATATTAAGGCATGAGGGACTTTGGTACTGGTGAGTTAGAGGACACACATTTCAAGTCAGTACTGTCTCCCATGCACTGCTGTTTAACATCTAGACAAAACCACTAGGTCAGGTCATTTGAGGATATGGCCTGCAGGTGGTATTCATCCCTCCCTCTCTCTAAAATCCTCATTTTTATCAGACTCTAAAAAGGCAGCAAAAGTACTGGTAGCTCTGAAGTTGTCCAGAAATTATTCTCAGCACTTCTATATGCATTAAGAAATAAAGGTCAATTATTAATAAATAATAAATATCAGACCAGAAAAAAGAATAGAAAAGCAATGTAATAGTGAAAAAGAACAGAATTATATATGAATGTCTCCAACCCAAGGGAAGGAAAGTCACTAAATTGGAAGAGGTGGAAGGAGAAGAGAGTATAACCAAATATGAATATTGTATAGACGCTGGGAAGTATTGTATTGGTTCATGCATATATACATGTATATTGATTTGTTTCATTGCTTTTTATAAATATGAAAATTGAAAATAGAAAAGCTTATTAACTCCCCCCCCCCCCCAAAAAAAAAAAACTACACATATGCCAAACAGAGCGCTGGAAAGAAATAAAGTCAAGCCAATTCATTGAAACAATGCCTACCACCTTATTTGATTCTGGCATGGGTTTTCAGACATGGCTTTTTGCAAACATACAGAAATGCATACAAACCACATGCTGTTTAGGACAAATTAATTTTGCAACAGAATCAAACATGAAATTATTCCTCTTTGAGTCCGATCATTGTTAAGTTCTCAGACTGTGAACCTCATAACAACAACAACAACAACAACCTTATTTATATCCTGCCACTTCTCTCCAAAGGGACTCAGGGCAGGTCACTATAGAAAAAATATAGTATACATAATAATACTCAACCAACCAAGACAAACAACATTCATCAACTGACAAATCAGCATATTATGATACACAAACAAAATAAAACAGTAATAAACATATTAAACAACAAAATGTCAGAATAAATATAAACTGGGTGATGATCAAAACATGTTATACACCAGAGGCAAAAACTAGCTCCTATTAATAAAACAGTTAAAATCCAGTTAATATTGGGATCAATTAAAATTCCATCATTTAAGTCATAGTTATTGTCAAAAGCCTTCTTTCACATCCATGCTTTTAGTTCCTTTCTAAAGGTCATTAGACTGGGAGCCCATCTGACCTCTTTGGGGAGAGCATTCAAAAGATTTAATTGTGCGAAAGCCCTAGTGGCCACCGCTGACACCTGAGCTTCAAGAGTCAGCACTGAGTGCAGGAGGACCCCCAAGCTGAGGACCTGTGCCCTTAAGGGGAGTGTAACCCCATCGAGAACCTTCAACAGGAATTTTCTCTATTTTCAGTACGTCAGATTTCACTATGATTCAAGAGAGGATTTTAAAATTGACATGCATAGCTAACCTGCTCTCAACTGAATGCAATTTTTCTGCTTCTTGGCAGGAGGTAGGACTGGGTGGCCCACGAGGTTTCTTCCAATTCTACGATTCTATAATTCTATGATTCTATGAAGTTTCTAAGAATAAATCTGAAATCATTTATAATTTCATGTTTACATCTGTGAACTTAAAACACATTCCCACAAGCATTAGATTAAACGCCAGTGCTGATTCTGGTAAGGTATCATAGGTACCATCTTCAAAATATTTGAAGATTGTATGTTTCTATGTACGATACAAT